CCATATGTTATTATAGGATATATTATATATGTATGTTTTAGATTTGGATCGTAGCGAGGGATCTATTAATATTACTATAATATGGGTTTTTAGATTTGGAGCATGGCGAGGGATCTATTTAGCAATTTTTCTAAAAAAGACATTTTATTGATGCATTAAAAAGTTCATTATTTGATTTCCCAAAGGATTTTTAAAATAATTGTGAAAATCGGAAAAGACGAAAAATGAAAAACAAACAAATTTATGACGTTCGATTTTATTGTTTTAAATTTTTAAGCACGCTGATTTCTACCAGAAATATTACTCCAATAGAAAAACTTCAAAATCTTTCTTTTTTTTTACATTTTTAATCTAGATGGTGACTAAAAAAGCCCATTTTTAATTTTTATTATAGTTTTTTTTATAATTGAGTAAACCGAAAAGAAAATATAGAAATGACGGGGAATTTTAGGAAAAATATTCTGTTTTAATTTTCAATTTGTTTTTTTTTTTTTGTTGTAATTTAGTTTAAAATATTCGTAGACTTGAAATTTTGACAGAAAACGATTTATGAAAACTCTCGGTAATCCAGCATATATAAAAACAGAAAACTGCTGGATTAACAAAAATGCCGAATTAATGGTAGTTCACATAGAAACGCATTTTTACTTATTGATAAACCTTAATTTATTTTATTAACTCACACAACACGTCAACGTTTATTGAATAAAAATAAATTATTTAATCGGCTCGTTCGGACTTAATCGGTTATTTGTATCGTTTATGAAAATAATTGAATAGTTATAATAACGGAAAAATAGCCGGATCACTAGACGTACCGGATTATTATTATTACACGACTGGATTAGCTCTTTCTATACGCGGTACAATTTTCAAAAAATATTTGAACCATTTTTGGCAATTTATAGATATTTTATTTTTCGATTTTTTACGTAATTTGTATTTGGTACGTACTATCTACGAATAGCATTGTTAGACCAAACAGAAATGCTAGATAATTTAACAGGAGGATCATTATAAGTCATATTTTGTGGTAAAGAAAAAAAATGAATATAATATTGGCATATTAATGCTGTCATATTGATGAAAAATAGGTACAATATTAAACAAATATTATTAAAGAAAATATATAATTATTTTATCATAATATGACATAATAAGTATAAGTCAACTTTTCACCTACAAGAGTGGCCCACCTATCGTTTTTTTAAAAAATTATAAAGTCAAATTTTGACGAAAATCGTAAATATTACGGCTTTTCAAAACATATATAACCGAACTTCGCTCCGAAACGTTTTTCGTTATCAATGGTTTATCATTTGTTACAGGTATAAACTAAATAACTTTATTTATCTTACCTTCCCTACTATCCACCTATAACAATGGCCACACCTGTCCCCAGTCTCAGCTCTTTTTTTTATGTGTCTGTGAACAATTTTTCTACCAGAAATCTTGTTCCCATAAAAAACAACAAGTGAGTTTTTTTTATGTATTTGTCTACTAGAAATCTTGTTGTAAATTTCAAAACTAGCAACTTTTCTAAACAATAATGTTGTAATATTGGTGCCTAAAAAGTTTGTTTTAATAGTTTGCCTAATATATGGTAAAAACGTAGAATGATGGGAATGTTTATGACAATAACGGTTTTATTATTTTCGATTTTGATTACTTGTTGTACCTAGTTCTGGATTTTTTTTTAGTTATTTATTGACATTTGATATTTTCGATTTGTTTTTATTAATTTATATTTGGTTTATGTGGATCAATTGTTATACTCGAACTGATATATTTTTGAAAATTATACTTGAGGTTTATCATAAGTTGTTTTTGATAGGAAAAAAGTCAGAAATGCCTTGGTGATTTATTTTTTTTAAGATCAAATTTTGACAAAATTCGTAAACATCACGGCATTTTAAAACATGATTAATTGAACTTCGCTCAGAATCGTATTTCATTATCAATGATTTATGGACACGTTAGAATATCAATTAAATAAATTTATGTATTTAATACCTCCCCTACTTCCCACCTATAACACTCGGTATTCTAATTTAACATCATTCCGAAAAGAAATTTTATGAATTTTTTTTAACTCAAAATTGGGTAACGAAAAAATATTGTAGCATGAAAGTATAATAATATATACTCGTATAGTAATCATATAATGTATCAACAAGAAAACGCAACAGTTAAGGTTAAATAAATCGATAATATTATATAGGTAGTATAAAACATAAATATTATATTATTCAGTAACTTTTTCGATAATTCTTGATTTTATTTTCAAGGGCAGGTATATATTCGTTATTCTTATATTGAAAATTGTACCCTTTTACTTAAACATAAATATCATAAATATCGTTATATTTGTGGTATAAGTATTTATTTTTTTTTTGTTTAATAAATCGTTCAACTTCGAACGGTAAAATGGTAGGTAATAAATCTATTTTATTAATAATAATGAATTAATAATTACTGCGATATTAATATACGACAACGATGCTCAACAAGTTATTATTATCGTTGTATACGTTTCGCAACAGTAGTAATTAGTATATTACGATGATAGTCAATCTGGATAGGAACAAAAAAAAATGCAAACATTTTCAATCGGATTTGTACCTCCGTACCAATGGCATAATATTTATTAGAGATATTCCCAAGCCCGGATTAAGGAAATAAATTTGACCCTAGGATACACCAAACACTTAGAGGCCCCTTTCAACTTAAACATAAAAAATTAGATAACTACATTTTATAGATTCTGAATGTGGTGAAAAATGTATTGGTTTTACAAAAATGTTTTTTTTTTATATTGTGTACAAAATTTCTACCAGAAATCTTGCTCCGAAGAATCAAGTATAGCACCTTTTCTGAAAGAGAATTTTCCTGGGGCGGTACTTTTTAATTTTTCCAATAAATAAGAAAAATCGGGAAAAAACGAAAAAAATGTTACGACCTTTTTTTCCCTATGAACCACTTTTTTATCAGCGATTTTGTTTTGATTTACAATAATAGTATTCTTTCTGATCAGAAATCTGACTGTGGTGGTAATATAGAGAGGTCATATTTTGATTTTTCCAGAATGTTTTCATAAAAAAACTGGGAATAACGGGAAAACAGGTGCATTAAATAAATATTATTTATTATTTATAAGACTGATAAATAATTAATTATTATTATATAATAATATATTATACATTTATTGTATACTTTATACAAAAGAATGAAAAACACACTGTAATAGTTCACTTGTTACTAAAGAATATCATAATTTAAATTTTTTTTTTTTTTGCTTTCTCTTTTGCAAACTGGCATAGGTTTCATCAAAATCGATTAATTATTGCAAAATATAATTTTTTGAGTATCATTAATGACGTTAAATTTTGTTGAGTGTGACTTGTTCTATATACTAATTATTTTTTTTTTTAATTTGGAAAATGCTCTTTTGACCAAATAATTGGAAACTGGGATAATCACATATAATCTAAAAGCAATTAAAATACTTGGGAATACATCCTGTAATAATTTTTGGTAAAACCATTTTAATAAATTAAATGCATCATTATCATCAAATGATCAATTTGCTTAAATTGTTTTAAATTGATTAATTTCATTTTTCAGCGAAGAGTTAACATAATTTATATAAGTAGAAATACAATTCTTTATACTCTTTTAGACTTCACTATCTGAATCTATTGGACAAGTTAATTTAGTAATAAATAAAAAATATATAGAAATAATGATTTTAAATTCTAATTTTGTCTTTTCGCTTATACACAATTTCTTTTTTATTACCATTACTATCATACTACCCCTGGCTCTCCCCTAAATCCGGGATTGGGTTTTCCGGTGTGTTAACTCTATTCCAATTTTGATGATGGTGTGTATGCGGGTGTGGGAGAACATTACGAGTTAATGATAAATCTATAATAATATATTTGTGGGAAAATAGGAAAATAATGTTCGTAGACAACTTGCATCGAAGGAAAATTCGCCACAAACCGAGTGCACCGTTATTCGTAAATACGTTTCGTAAAGCGTATCTAATACCTATTAAATTATTATACTTTTGTTATTATCGTGTTTTTTTTTTTTTTTTTTTGAGGGGGGGACTATACGGATGCCGACAAAATCCAACGACAAACGGGATATTATATACATTGTATGCTATACTTTGAGGACCCTTGAATTGTATACTCGGATAGGTTAGGTAGGTACCTACCGTTATCAGTTTTATATATAATAATTTCAAAACATTAGCACAGTGTTAATAATAATAATATTACAGGCAGTGTTTAAGTAATCTAGTGTCGGGAAGCGTTTATTATATACCTGTATAGCGTGTACACGTAATATATATATATATATATATATAAATATATAAAAAACATTATATTATATATACGTCGGTCTTTCGTTAGGTTATAGAACCGCCATGCACAGCCCCGTTGAGATAACGCCGCGGCCCTGAATTGATTACTGTATTCGTACGCCCCGGCGATTCGCGTGCAGCCACCCCGCCGCTTGTCGCCTTTGTAATCGCGCGGGTTATTTTTCCCCATTTTTACCGCGGGTCCGCGCGATTTTCCGATCGATTTTCCGGTCAATCGACATTATAAAAACGACAACGTAAAACACACAGTCCCCGGTCTTATTATGCAGGTACCCGGGCACGCATACGGATACCGCGGCCGTCTCGTGTTTCGTACACGGATTTCAACCCCGCGGACATTTGCGCAAGCACCGGCGGAGGCGGACGCGGCGATGGGCCTTGTACGCTAGTCGAAGAAAAGCAGCACCCCGCTTTTGCGGCGGCGACGGTGTCGGCGGCGCAAAAGCGGGGCGGCGGCATCGGCGGTGGTGGTGGCGGCGTCGGCGGTGGTGGTGGCGGTGGCGGCGCAAAAGCGGGGCGGCGGTGGTGGTGGCGGTGGCGGCGCAAAAGCGGGGCGGCGGCGGCGGCGGTGGGTGTACAGTCGTCCAGTAATCGATACCGCGAGGCGTGTACCATAGCCGCCGAGCAGTATTGCCATTTAGTTCCCATACTTTCTGACTGCAACTTGTGTTTTGTTTTAGAACATACCTACTTAGTTTTAAGCACGGGTTTTTTTTTTTATTTTTTTTATTTTTTTTTTATTTTTTTTATTTTGGTTGGTTTTTTTTGTTATCTGTTAATCATTTTTTGGCCGCTTTATTTCATTACCTGCATTTATTATAATATTGATCAGTGTAATTTTGATTCTACAAATTTATCTATTCCCAATCAACATTATAAATTATAAATATATATATATATACACTTATATATATATATATATATATATATACAAATTATTTATTATTTTATTATATTGTACACATCAAACCCGTATGTGTATACGTTATAATATCCATTTATAGGTACGTATATAATATTATTTTATTTATTTTTATATTATACTTATACAATATTATTATTATTATTATGCTATTTTAAGTTCGTTATATTTTTAGTTTTTACGTTAAAACATTTTGTTATATTATTATTATTGTTTAATTTATGTTGCACTTTTGTAGACTGTGGGATTTTTACCGTTTTGAATAATCAAATTATAATTTATTACCTATAGGTAGGCATACCCAGATATTATCCTTGTTCTCACTATACACTGTACACCTATTATTTTACACTGCGATATATTACCAAAGGGTAAATTTTTTTTCGATTTTAGTTTTCGACCAAAACCAATACACCAGCAGTATCTATAGAATGTACACATTAATCGTATACTTACTAATAAACATAATAAAATAAATGAAGTTAAAGAAAAATAAAGTATATATATGTTAAACATATATTTACAGGTTGTCAGTCTATTTAGTCGTATCTAAAAACTATTCATTTTGTAAGACAAATAGATCGAAACCTAAAATTATTAATAATTTAGCCATTTAAAACGTTCTCATCCAACCCGCGGTAGTGCTTAATATATTATATTTTTTAATTTTTATATTGAAATATAACTAATTATCATACCTATACCTACACTATATTAATAATTTGAAATTATTACGTAGGCGAAATTAGCTCATATATTTTTCGGGGTGGGGCTGAAGTAATGAAGTCTGATAGACGTCCATAGATATACGTGTATAAATACAACATATAGTTTGATAGTTGGACATTTTTTCGAGAGACAAGAGGGATTGGGAGGCACGCTTGGATGAAGGGGGGGGGTTGGTCCAGGGAGCTATGGTCTCCGATCCGCCAAATTCTAGAGGACTCAGTTTTTATTACAGTATATTATGTGTTTATTTATGCATTTAATCATTAACTTGATAAAATGAAAGAAAATAAATTGAAATGTTTTGAGATCATAAGAAGAAAGAAATCAGAAGCAGTATCTAAGGATTCTAATGAAAATAAATGTTGGAGGAAATAAGGAGGAGAGAGAACGAAAAAAAGGTGATTGAATGCAATTGCGAATATGAGAACGGTGTGTGTATGCAAGAACGATGTGGGAGATAGGGTCAAGTATAAGTTTATGACGAGGGTGGCTGGCCCCAAATAGAATGAGGGGATGAAATCGAGGAAGAAGGAGAAAAAAAATCATTACTTTTGTGTTTTTTGTTATTTTATTGCTTTTAATATTTTTTATTGGTGACCTTTTATGGATGAAAAAACTATTAGTTCTTTATATCATGTATTGTTTTATTAAAACATAGTAACTAATGACTGTTTACAATTTGTTTATTTTTTTTTTTGAGGATATCATTTAAAATTTCGACCCTAGAACTTCCAATTGTGTTAATTCGAGATTGAGGAGAGAGTCAGTGCCCCATTCCACTTTCTCTAATTGCGTCTAAGTAATTATATAGGTAGTGTTTTAAATAGTGGTGTAACAATATTATAATATTGGTAACTACATTAAACGATAATAAATTTTTACTTTCTTTTTGATTTAGTTGTTGACTATTTATACTCATACATTAAAACAAATAGGTAGGTTTTAACCACATTGATATACTTAATTAGAATTATTAAAGTTTAAATCAGCCGCTTCTCTAAGGAATTTGAGGGGAATGATTGTTCCCTCCCCTGTGTGTCATATGATGTTCTATATTTAAGTTTATTGATGAAAAATAATATTAATAATATATACCTACTTTAGGTATATTCGAAGGAATTTTAGATGTTTAAAAATGTTATGATACAAATTTGAAAACTTTTCCATACCTTTTCATTTATATGATTTCGCAACCTATTTATTTCTTAATAGTTTTTAAACCATCATAATAATATAACGTATTACACGTATAAATAATGCTAAAACTAATTTGCTAGGATTAGATATGATTGCTATCACAACTAGGAATTTCGGGGGAGGGAAAAAAGTTATTAATTTTCAAACAAATTTCTAGATAGGTTATTGGGAAAACAAGTTTCTAAATGAATGACGTGCATGATGTAGGTAACTGTATGTATTTAAAATTACAAAGAAATGTATGCAATTAAAATATAGACTATAACTTACATTGTTATACACTAAATTTCGGGAGAGGAGGTTATAATCATTACCCCTTTTCAATTTGCATCGCTAATGAAATACCATTTTTTTTCTTCGGTTTAGGTAATATTACACCCAGACAGGAATCCAGTGTAAAGATCTGGGGTAAGGATAGTAATTGTAGTATAAATAACAATATAACTATACTTTTTTCTAAAAGTATTAACTTAATTTAATTAAATTTTAAATGATGAATCAAAACGTTTTTTTTTTTTTAAATTGTCACGTTCTATAGTATTATCAGGATTCCGGTAAAATTAAAAAAAAAAAATGGAGACATTGTATATCTGGGGATAACACAACTCCCTTCACCAACCCCCTTGGATTAGCCCCTGATTATACTAAAACTCACGTGACATACAATATTATATAAGTAAAATATGGTTTGAAAAGTTCTTGTTTTTATATACTATTTATATTATTCAAAATTAGTTTATTATTGGATACAAATTTAATACAAATAGTTGTATTAAAAATATGTTCTTATAATATCTAAATACTCTAAAAAGTTCAAAAATTGTTATTAATTACTTAGATACATTGGTCAAATTGTTTTAGATTTTGTGCTTGCACAATAATTAAAAGTAATATGAGTAATATTATAGGTAGGTACATTATAATATTGCTACATAATATGTTGATTATTAGATATCATAATTAAAAACTATGGTATTTAATTTTCGAATTTTTTTAAGAATTTGAGACAAAATGAATATTATTACTACTTTCAAGAACCATAGAGATTATGGACTAATAATTAGTTCTTAATTACTCCTTAATTATTATAGTACCTATTTTGTATAATATATCTTATAGTACGAAAAATGACAAATATATTTTAAAGTGAATCGATTTGAAAAAATAAAATATCAGCATCCCAATTTATCTGGTAAGAGTATGTAAAATCAATTCCTCCACTAGTCCCACTATTTATAACAATTTCGAAACAAAATAAAGATAAAACTTCAAATATTAAGTTAATAGGAAACTTTATATACTATTATACCTTAATACCTATCTTTTATACAGACGAAACATTTAAATTACTTTTAAATTTATTGCAAATGAAATATTCAAAAATATTCAAATATGAACGAGTGTTAAAAAAAGAAAATACAGTGTTTATTCGTTTCTCTTTGAATTATTTAAAGAAATATTATTATGCGGGCCAAAAGAAAAATGTTAAACTATTGGAATTTTTTGGTGATAAATTTATTTTTATGAATTTCAAAATAAACAAAGCCCATGGGTATTCCTTCAGAATTTACACTAACTGATAAACTATATTTCATTTGAATTATCTATGATTGGACCACGCCTATACTATTTCCTTTTTAAAATAACACAATCATTATGTCTTACATAAGCATTTGTAATACATCTTGAACAATGAATTATATTTAAGTAGTATTTTTTTTAAATTTTAAATCAATGGACAACTTCCATTACTTAATATAATAATATCCACTAAAAAGTAAGTATAGCTACAGATAATGGACATGATATACAACGAATGGCGGGTAACAGATTAGGTTAAAACAAATAATTTAACTTATACACATCTATAATATCATTCATTTATACACAGCTTAGGTCAAGGCGTTTTTTTGTTTTAAACTTTAGACTTATAAATTGGCTACATAGGTTTTTTTTTATATTAGGTACTTTGAGAGGACGTTATACCTGCATTTTCTATCTCAGTCCAACTACTAGGTAACATGCAAAAACAATGCTTATGTAGAATAAGTAAAACTAGCTTAATTTTGTAGTCCTTATCTCTGTAAGTACCTAATATTTAATAATATGAACACAAAATATATGTGCTTATTCATATTTGACAATAAATAAATTAAAGTTATTGGGAATGAAAAATGCTATTAAATTTTTATATTTAATTTGAAACTTGAATCAAAATAAACTGAAAGCTATATACAGATTTAATTTATATTCTTACTTGAAAGCAACAATTTAATATAAAATATAATGATCTTTGATGACTTCCAGAATAGATTTATATGCAAGTTCATGTTTGTATTAAAATTTAGAATAAACGAATTTGAATCCATAATGAAATATGTGCCCAATTTAAATCGTGTTTTGTATTAAAACACATCGGTTTTATTTTGTCTATTATGAAATTGTTTGCACATGTATAACTTTTTCGTACGAAATTTTATTTTAAACTATTAAATTATCACACAGTCTGATTTAGGCGTAATATAAAGTTGAAAAATTATATTTTTAGAAAAATGTATTACTCATATATTACATTTTTTAACATATTTAAAATTAATTGCATAAAAAAAATAATTAAAATAGATAATATTTGTATAGTTTTATGTGAACTATAAATATAAAGTAAGAGAGAAAAATAGATAAATACAAACTTTGAATCTTATCCCCTTTGCATATTGCATTTGAACCCTCTTATTTGCATGGTTACATACTTCGTTCTGGTCACAATATGAAAACACATACATTCAGAACTTTTTACCGTCTTTTAGTAATAAAAAATTATAATATTATTTTATTTTCTCACTTCATTTCTAAAATTACAAAGAAAAAAAATTTTCAAATTTGACAATGTTGTACAATCGTTACAAATTACAATCAATTTTTTTTTATTAACTCACCCAGCAAAATATTTTTGGCACAACTTACTACAGTGTTTGCTACGTAATATTTCAACGCATAGTACAAACAATTAAAATAGTTAACAATGTGGCCTACTCATCAATGTCCTCAACAACTCTACTAAAACTAATAAATTATACTTATTTTGATTTCTTGTCAATTCAGAAAAATGTTTTACTTTACTTTTTATCGTTATTTTACAATATATATATGTATATATTTCCACGAATAAATAGTTGACAATTTCATTAGATTTCATAATTTCATAATATAATATGAAAAGTCCCGAAAAAATTGATTAATAAACACACAACAGTGTGTTAATCATCAGATGATGCATATCCATGAATATAAAATTTTATTTTTTTAGATTTTTTTTATACTTTTATTTATTATACATAAAAAGAATTTTGTTTATAAAATATATTGAGATAAAGTGTGAATAAGTTTTATTTACGCAACTACTTAGTTTCAGCTTACACTAATATCAGGTTGCTGATAAATAATGTTTTATAGGAATATAATAATAATGGAATATAGAATGTTGAATACTCAAATTAGTAAAGTATAAAAAAGTAAATTAGTAATTAGTAAATTAGAATTTTTATAATTTTGTTTTATGACACACAAAATATATTCCAAATACAATCAAAAATTTTAATTTTCCCCAAATTCAACCATTGGAATTTCACAAAGTACAGCAATTATTATTTATAACGAAATTGTATTTTCTTATTATCCGGAAAAAATTAAACACTTAAATAATAATGGTTTTGTTATGTCTTTTATTTTAAGTTCCTACTTTGACTACATAATATAGAAATTTATTAGTAAGTTGCATGATGTTTTTTTATTTCTTCATAAATGTTAATCACAGATATAATGGGGAGCTTTACAGGGACATTAGAAATAATAATAATTATAAAAACCAAACATTTCACCAAGTTAATTTTTTAAATAGAAATTTTTTGATAAAAATACCAATTATCATTTGAAACCTTTTTAAAGAATCTTTTAAGGTTATTATAACTCCAATGAATTAATTGAATTCAACCATTATGTAGGTATAACTTTTTCCCATTAAATTATTAAACATTTATTTTTACTACTCAAAAAGTATTTTCGGAAGCTTTGTACCTAAAGATAATAGCTTTCGTTACATCTAAACATATATACGGTAGTGTAGGTTACTGATTTTAAATATAAATATTCAGTAGGTATCTACTATCTTTATTAATATTAGTATTGGTGCTTTCATTTCATTGAATATTAAAAGTTTTATTAAAAGGAATTGCCCATAAATTTTGATAAAAACATGAAATTAAAAAAAAAAAAATTTGAAAACACTTATAAATAATTAATTGTGAGTTTCTAATTATTTTACGTAATAAACGCATCTGTATGAAATGTTTGAAGGATTTGTATTTAAAAAATAATAACTATAAAACTACTAATAAATGCAATACTTATAAAAAAAAGGAACATATACTAATACAAATTTAGTCTTAGAATAGGTACTATCTAAAACATAACGATGTAAAAATAGAAGAACAATATAGTTTTTAGTAGAAAACTGTTTTGTAATTTAAGTAGGTCTCTAAATATGGTTTAGTTACAACTCGTAACCCAATCATAACATCGCAAATATTTGGTTGAAATTTACAAGGCAATAGGTAGATCACAAATAGAACTATAAACAATTCACACTTTTATTCAAATGAACAAACTTTTTAGTTATTAAATATATTTTTAAATGCATAATCTAACCCTAACCTAACCACATAACAAAATACCAAATTAATAATCCTGTGGATATTAGCCTTTGGCGTCACTTTTCAAGGAGGCACAAAAACCTTTTAAAACATGGCAAAATAGTGTTTTTATTCAGACTTCAGAACCTAAAATAGTTTATTTTTTAATCACAAATAAGCACGCCCATTCAAAATTCCAGTATGTTATAAAAAAAAAAATCATTCTTATGAAAGGACGCTAAGGAATAGTGCCACAAGATAGAACAAGATATGGACATACTTGTTGGTGGGTGGGCCACCTTTGTAGGTGAGAAGTTAGGTATGTAGAAGGGAAATTTAATGTATATCTAATGTATAACCATTAACCATTGTTTATGAAAAACCCCCTTTATTATGAAAACTCTTGGAAAAATAAAAAAAAATGACCTTAAAAGTAGCGTCCCAGTGAGATTCCCTTATAATTTAAAATCGGAGCAAAATTGCTCGTAGAAAAAACAGGTATAAAAAAATAAATAAATAAACATTATTGTAAATCTAAAAATGGAAATACGTTTGTGCGTATGAACATAATATTATTACACAATTGTGTGGACTATCGCACGTTATAATTCGTCGGATAACAATTAACTTAATAGTATTTTTATCAACAAGTGGATATGGGTATTAAAAGGTGGATATTTATGGAAAAGAAATTCCTTGTCATTTGATGTGCTCTGCTACTGATTAAATATCATAATAGATTATAAACCACAGTAAAATTCACATTTGTTAAAACTTCAAAAAGTTGTAGAAAATAAAAGACCACACCTTAACAAAAATCTCAAAAATTTTTCTAAAAATCTATTTTAAAAAATTGCTATTTTAAATCTTTTAAAAAAAATTTTAGTAAAATTTTAAATTGTTTATTTTAAGATCCCCTACCTAAAAGTTTATTTAAAAAAATATATTAACTGTAGCGCAGAGGCATACTAATTAATAAAAAAATATATTTTAAATATATTTAATAGGACAAAAGTTATTTCAAGTGATAAATCATCGTGGGACACTCTATGTAGGTATTATATATTATATTTTTTGTCCAACGATATAATACGCTTATCACGCGATATTACATTACGTAAAACAAAAGTAAATGCGGTCCGCCGTATGATGAATTTGCTACTGTTGTAGGCACGTGCTCGTATGTAAAAAGCACAATGGACATGACGTTATATATACATATATTATTATAATACACCCCCTTTTTTTGCTATTTATCGAACCGACACGGATGCCGGGACGCCCTCCGTTGTTCTCGGTTTCCGCTGTGGAAAGGGTGACCAATAGGATATAATATATATATATATATGTAGAGAGAGAGAGAGAGAGAGAGCAAGAGAGAGTGAGAGCGGAGTGTCGGAAATCTGCACAAAAAAAAAACTTTTCGCGGCCGGTCGGGGAACGAACAATTGGAAAAAAAAATCAATAACTTCGCGGCCCGGCGGCAACTGCGGTGGCGGCGTTAATGTATAATATAATATACAGGGTGTTTCTGAAATGAATGAGGAAACTATAATTTATTATACAGGGTTTCCGATAAAGATATTCCCATTTTATATAATTATATATCCATAGCCATCTTACTCTGAGGGGTGTTAGAACGATGATTATGATTTTAGACTTTTTTTCCATCTCTACCAAACCTGCGCTTTTTACCAATTTCGTTCTATATATTATTATCTAAAAATAAATACTCAAATGATATTTCATGTAATGTCCTCGTACAAATCAATGTATCTATCTTATCGGGTCACTTTTATTTTATTTTATTGTTTAGAAAAAAAATTTAAAAATATCGAACAGAACACAAATTATTATATTTGTCCGATTTCAGTTTATAGTTATGGTGGCGTGAAGTTTATTTGCTATGAATCAGTTGCAATAAAATAGCAAAAAAACCTGTTAATAACCGAAGGCCAGAATAATCGACAGCTATAACTATGATTAATATAGACGTTTTTGTAGTTCATCACCTGTTTTGTTAACATATCTTTAATAATAAAGTTTCACACATACACACTCCCACTCATTTGTTCATGAAGCAGCTTCTTTAAAGTAAACCTATTAATGCCGTTAATATCTCCGTAAAACAACCTATATTCCTATCACAAAATACTATAAATTATACTTCACTCGTCAAATAATGCGTAAATACGTACTTATTATATATACTATATACTTACTATATAATTACGCGCTTCGAACTAGATTCCCTCCCTGATGTTGAATTGGAAACCATGTGGTAGGGTGTAAAAGAGGTCTAATAGAAAATAATTTATAATGTTTTATTATTATCATATTTATTTGCTTATCACAGCTGGTGAGAAATTCCAAACCGGTATTTACATATATATTGTACGTGTATATATATATATACACGACCATTACCAATTTTATTTTTTTAACTTTTTAATATAGTTGTACAAGATATATAGATATATTTCTCATCTATATCTGGGAAATAGAATTTGCAGACAAATTCTTTAAACTTTATATGATAATTTATTTGTGATAATATTATTATCCCAAAATTATAAATTGATAAAATAATATGTTTTTGATTGGAAATTGGAAAAAATGGCAAAAATATCAATATTTTGACATCTTTACTTTGGCTGCACCTACATATTTACTAACTATTTTCTTCGTTAATTTTAGAAACACCCTGTATATAGTACATGCTGTTTTCCCCCTCGTAACGACGCATGACGACGCGTATATGCTTTCAGTAGATGGTACTGGGTAAAATAGGTATAGTAGTATAGCATAAAATAATAATAATAATATACAGTAGCCAAAAATGTTTTCCGTGTTAATAATTATGCCGACACACTGTATAGGTACCTATATTACCTATATACGTTTCACAGGGTTGCTATAATATAATTTTATGAGTATCTCGATTATACCCAGCTATAATAATATTATTATACTCTGAACACGGTATATTACAATCACTATCTAACTATTATATCCGCGTTACAGTCACTATACAGTTTCATTATTTCCTGCAGTAAAAATAACATACAACTTTTTAGTTTTTAAAATAATTTGTTACTATATCTATACCCTATACGTGTAGATGAAGGCTATTTATTTAAAATACATAGATATTTGATAATACAATATGAATATAGTATATAAGTAATACGTGTTTCATTCAAATGGCAATAAGAAATATTTTAGCCAGATAGACTTTGGTCAAAATGAGTATTTTTTTTTTTAGGAAGGTGTTGGGAGCCAGGTGGTATCAAAATGTACATTTTGACTCGATACTAAAATCTTTTATTATGATCTTTAATCTGATTTTATCAAATTATCTGATAAAATCATATAATCTTACACAAACATAGCTAAACAAGAACGTTTTACCCGAAAAAATTCGTAATTATTAATCAACTTTAGATGCTTGAAACAAGTTAGAAAACCTATTCTGTGAACATATAAAGTTCTCGTTTCTCAACATATTTTAAACAAAAAACTATATAATTTTTATATTTAACCTAATATAATCTATAGTCTATATTATATCCTAATATATTATGCTCATGTATAGAAACCTGACATTTAAGTATGGATTATTATTATTATTATTAATATTTATTAATTCAGCAATTAATTTTATTATAATTAATTATCAAACTTGAGCAACGCCGCCGAGTAATGACAATTAATGTATTATAATACTTCTTTAATATATTCTAAACTCTCGTTAGTTACATTTTTAAAATCGTCAAAATGGGTTATTAAAAAAATTTAAAAAACCTATAATTTTATACTCGTTATCAGTTCTGTGATCAAATAAGGGGTCTGGAACACCTGCCCTTCTTAATACGTCGGTTTTTATACACGCTGAGTCATGAACATATAGTGTTGCTAAATAATAATTGAAATGTCCACCTCACATATTTCAATAACATATCATAACTAACCAAACTAACTGAAAAAGTAAAAAACATGTTTATTAGGTACATAGTAAACATTAAACCGAAATAGTTAGATAATAGTATATACTTCTATAAATAATAATATGGTATTTTATTTCTCTGTACGTTTAACTCGAAATAATGAATGTAAAAGAAAATCCAATAAACAAATGAGCTGATAATAGGGTCGGATGCACCACTGTTGTACATGGGAAATTAAGAATATATAGGATACATATAAATAATCTGTACGCAACGATAAATCTTTGCTAACTAAAAACAATTCGAATCGGAGTTTGGTGTAAGACATATTCTGAAATGCCGTATTTTTTACGATTTTCAAAAAAAAATAATCTTAAAACGTTTATGAAGAAAAAGGAAAATGCATTAAACTCAAATTTGTTTTTGAGACCACTAGACATACCTTATAATGTACATTGTGTTAAACTTTCAAGCATTTAGCTTAAGTCGTATAATTTTAATAACAGATACTTACCAAATAAAAATAAATAAAAAAACATAAAATACCACGTGCCTATAAATAGCCTAAAAATAGATAGATTATTTTGACAATTTAACCACGTATAAAAGGCCAATATAAGTATTTTTTGTGAAAACAACTAGTCTCTACAATAATTTTGAATCAAATAACAACAAAAAAACCAAATTCTATACATTTTGCCATAGGTATTTACTACATTTTTATTCTGGTTTTTTGTAATTATTAGGAAAATTATACGAAAAATCAAATAACTTCCTTACTCAGAAACTAGACAATTTTTCTTTCAACAATTTGGACAACGATTTTTGGTAGAAAAGTTGTTCACAAACATAAAAAGAATTTAAAAAATGAGCTGATAATGGGGACAGATGTGACCAATGTAGTAGGTGAGTAGGAAGGTAGGATACATAGGTATTTAATTTATATCAGTAACTAACGATAAACCATTGTTAACCAAAAATTATTCGGAATAATGTGCGTTTATAAATGCCGTAATATTTATGATTTTCGTAAAAATTTGATTTTAAAATATTTATAAAAAAAATAATTATTTACTACATTTAATTATTTTTACCACCAATACGACTTACAATGAACCTCCTGTCAAATTTAAAAGTATTTCTGTCTGGTCTAACAATTATATCCACAGAGTCTACCGAATAAAAATACTTAAAAAACTCGCAAAATTAAAATGTCTACAAATAGCTCAAAAAAAGCTAAAATATTTTGAAAATTTTGCAACGTCTAAAAAATCAAATATAAGCTTATTTTTCAAATTTCAAGTTTACACAAATATTTTTATAATACTACGACTAGAAAAGGCAAATATAAATTTTGTGTCAACATTTTAATGCTCTACGAATTTTTTTGAACTGAATTACGGTAAAAAAACAAAATTGAAAATAATAAAAGGATTATTACATATGGTATATTTTCCCATTGATTCTAGGTCTTTTCGGATTTGTTTAATTATTAAAAAAACTACTTGGAAAATCACAAAACGACTTTCTTCTTAAGTATCTAGATTTAAAATTCAAAAAAAAGATCACTAGGCATTTTTTGATAAAAGCAATATTTCTGGTAAAAAATATAGTTTACAAAAATTAAAACAGTGCAATCGTTAACGCTGTTGCGTGTCATAAATATGTACCGCTTTTCCCGGTTTTTCACAATTATTATGAAAAATCCTCGGGAAATAAAAAAAAACCAATGAACTAATTAGATAAAATTTCGTTTTAGAAAAAGGTGCTACACTTAAAACATCGGGGCAAGATTTTTTGTAGAAAAGTTGTTCACAGACAAAAAAAATAATAATCATCATTGTAAAACCAAACCTCGTTACGTTCCGAATCTAAAAGAGTTGATACTGCTGACAGGTTTGCCACTCTAATAAGAAATTAAGAAAGTAGGATTTATTGGATTTTTAATTTATATCTGCACTCAACAATAAATTATTACTAAGAAAAAACGTTTATTAACTTCTGAATGAAGCTCGGTTAAATATGTTTTGAAACGCTATGATTTTTACGGTTTTAGTCCAAATTTTAACTAATACGTTTATAAAAAAAATTTTACCTTACGCTAAACTTTTTTATTTTTATCATTAAATTCAATTAATGATAAACCTCTGTGTTCAAGTTTCAACCAATTTTACTCAGCCAAAACAGTCTCTTCCACATGAATCGAAAAAATAATACTTTGAAATGAAATATTTAATTTAAACACGAAACTCTTAAAAATCTTTTAAATCAATAAGTATTCAACACTTTAAAAGTTCAACTAAATATTATTAAGAGAGAGGCATATTATTTTTATACTACTAGTCTAATATATTTCTCTATAGTATCATTTAGATACAATACATTTGTTTAGTATATGATTGAATTTTTGATCTGTAAAATCTTTTGTGATCAGTTGACCACATTTTTAAGATTTTAAGAAAATTGTATGTAAATTCAGTCAATCTTTTTTTTTAAATTTATGTTCCCGTGATTTACTTCAATAGTGAAAATGTATTACAAATATTTAAAATCATCAAACATTAATAATAATGATCATATTATATAGTAAATTAATACATTTTATTTTTTGAATAGTGTATGTTACGAAACGTCGACAGTCAAAATATTAACAGGTTAAAATACCGACAGTCGAAATATCGACAGATTAATAATATCAACTGTTGTATCGAAATATCGACCGTGGAAACATTTTAATTTTAATTTCTTTTTATATAATCCTTTATTAATAATATTTTAACACAATAAAAACTCTAGCATAATTTTTCAAAAAAAAGTAAATAACCCAGGTACTAAGATCTTAATATTAAAATAATATTAATATGTTTTTTTTTTTTTTTAAATACTTTTCGGTTGGACAAATGCTCCAATATTTCCAATGTAATTTTACACTCGATGATACTTTATTTTAAGCAAATTTTTAGAACCCCAAGGGTTATTCTATAAAATTAAAAAAAACTAACAAATATCTTTGTTTTTATTTTTATTAGTTTTTGGGTTGAGTTAGTTGGGTTATATTAACCTATGGTTAAAAAAAAAACACGAATAAATACTTCTAATTCTACTCCGTACAAAATATTATTTCGTTTGCATTAATTTTTCGTTGGACACAGTATATAAACTAAATAATCCTGTGTACTCTAACATCCCAAATACCCAACCTGGTTCAGTGATATCCTAACAGTGTATATTCTATCCATGAGTAGTATCGAATTTTTATGTTTTATAAAACATTTTTCGTTAATATTATAAGAACTTACCTCAAATTCCTCCAAACAGGAGGATTATAATATATTAATATGATATTTTATCTGTACCAGACAAATTATAGAAGTTGTAGGCCTTTGGGAAAGGATGGGAGGTATGGATAATCCTAAAAACCTCTTGTAATTACTCAACTAATTTAGGTGCCTTTTTAAGTGGATACTGTAATCGCTCCATAAGAGTAGCCAGGAATAACATTTATACATTTGGATAAAATTGTACGAGGACCGATGTAAAGTAATAATTGTACTTCGATTTATGTTGAGGTACTTTTTATACATATAAATAATTCACTAAAATGGGTATAGAACATTCGAACAAACAAGGTATTTTTAAATACCTAGTCCACGTGTATGAATAATATTCTATTTAAACATTTATTTTTATTATTTTTTTTTTTTACGAACAAAATATTCGAATAAATAAATCAATGTAACCTATTTACAATAATTATTATAGTAATAATTCATATTAAATTCGTTCAGAACCAAAATAATAGGATACAAATTAAATTCAAAACGCGTAATTAAAAAAAGTCAACTCATTGTATCAGTTGAAAAAAAAATCATTCTGATTAATTATTAAGAGGTAAAAAAAAAACTTTAATTAATATTCAATTATATAGTTAACTTATTTTCTTGATAAATTGTAAATGCATATTATCATAATACTATACTATATAAATAGCTAGTTATAAAAAAATCATCTTATTCATTTTTATGTCAATTGTGTTTCAAATTATAATATCTGTGAACCTTGTTAGGTATCATTTATTTTATAGGTTATATTTATAATATTTTGTCAGGAACATATATTTTTTATGATAGCTATATTTTATTGTCTGTTTCGTTAGTATTTTCTTACAAATGTTTTCTTTTTTTGTATTTATTTATCCATATTCGGCACGAACGATGTTCCTTCCAAATTTGGCGTCCTTTAAATCTAATGTTTTCTTTCATCTTCTTTCTTCCACAGTTGCACCAAATTAAATCAATTTTTGCCTTCATGTTTTCCATTATACAAAAACTAGATATCTAGACTTTAGATCGGGACGTGGTCAAGTCGTATAGTATTGTAGGGCTAGTAGGTGTACATATGGGTTTAAGTGGGTGGGAAAACGTTTACTTAGTCATCCTACCTTTGACTGTACATACCTGTTTTCCATAACTTTTAAAATGTATTGGGTTTGGGAACTGTATTATTGAGCACTCAAAATAAAATAGTGATCAAAATATCTACGCTTTGCTATGTTGTATCATTTTAAGCTCTCATGTCAGAAAGAGGTACCTAAATTTGTTTTTTTATTTTGTCTACAACAATTTGTGTCAGGGTAAAAAATCGCTTTTAAAAATCTTAAAATGTTGTTTCAATTTAATAGGTACCTACTTAATATAATACGAAATATCGTCAACATGAACCCAAGAAATTCACCCATTTCGGATAAAATAAACCAATTACTCATAATATAGTCATATGTTATTCGGCTTTTTCCGTACGTACACAAAGCACCTATATAATATATATATATGTATATATATATGTATACAGAGTGTCCCACGAAGATATACCAATTGTAATATTTCAGGAGATAATAAAGATAATCAAATTCTGTTTTTTATATTTTCAGGAATAAAGAGTACGAATATTTATATTGTGAATAATTTTTTGTTATTATAAAAAAACTTTTAAAAAAATAACTTTTATTTTATTGTTTTTGGAAAGTTTGAAGATGGCTTATTTTATAGAGTTTATTCTTTTGAAAATATTGACGCTTATACTTTTTACTTTCATTAAATTCGTGATTTTTAATAATTTTTAAAGTTCAGAGAAAAGAAGTGTACGATCAATTAGTCGTAATAATAATAATAATCAATTAGACAATACTATTATAGTCTGCTGCATAATTATATGTACCTTTCTCTGAGCTTAAAAATTATAAAAATTATTAACTATCGCAAATTTAATGAAAATAAAAAGTTGATAGATACGTCAAAATTTTCAAAAGGAAATATTTTCTATAAAATGGCTCTCTTCAAATTTTTAAAAACTAATAAAGTAAAGTTATTTTTTAATTTTTTTACCAAAAAAAAAAAATTTATAGTGATCATTCCAGTGAGTATTATAAAAAAAAATAGAATTTGATTATCTTGATTATCTCCGGAGATATTACAATATGTAAGATATCTTCGTGGGACACTCTGTATATATAAAAAAGGCAGTCGGATTTAGGTTTCTGGTCCATTCGTGCTACCGTATTCACAGTGGAGGTCTCGGCCGACGTTGACTGTCATTCTCAAGAGGGGAGAAAATTTACTAAAAATATGTTGCTTTTTTTTTTCATTCGCTCGGACGGTTTCTGAAAATCTATAAATTTATTGAGACTGCTACTGCGCCGGTCGAACGATGTATTATTTTAGGCGATCCCTTCTTTCCGAAAACCGCTATACTATACCTATACAATACGATACAGGATGCCGCTAATTTTATTTCTTACCTACCGGCACAGCGTAAAACACACAAAACCGATCGCGCGTGCTCTAGACGAATAATGTTTAATAATAGATTAAAAGCAGTGGCATAGTTTCATGATTGTGTTCTGAGGGGAGGGGGCATAGTCAATTAGGTACCTAAACTTCGTGGAATCCTAACTTTTAGCTTCAAATCCAATCACGACCAATTTATTTGTCACAATTTTAATATTAATTTATTTGATTAAAAAGAAAATATTTTGAAATCTTGCAAAGATATTTCGGTTTTAAAAATCCTATTACTTACGATGATACCTAACGGATGAGTTATAACAATTACAACTGTAAGCAGTCCACGACTGGACTATAAAAAAAGGTTGGGTAAATACCAAAGTACCTCTGTGAGTTGCACTTTTTACCTACTGTTCAATATATTGATGCACAAATGATGTAAGACATTTTGACGCAATAAACAGATGATGCGCAAACGATGGCTGCCAGCGAATAAACTAGCCTCGCGGTCGTTTACTCGGCCGGTAGGTACTAGTACCTGCATAATAGTGATAAATATTGGTTATAATACCTATTGTTATACAATTAGGTAGGTAAAATAATTATAAAAATCATATAATACAATACAAATAAATATAAATACGCCTGACGGCATATATTTGTAGATTCATCCAAGGTCGGATTATGGTCATAAATGGAAGGAGGATTTTACTTTTGGTGAGACCCGTTTATCCAAAACAATTATTTTTTCTTTAAATTTAGATTTCATTAATGGCGTGGCGAAGAGAATAATCGAGAGGCGGCCGCAATCTGACTTTTTATTAAGATACCTACGTATATGCCTACTAATATGACAACTTTTAAGAAAGTGAGGAAAGGATTTATTAATTCCACCGTTTTAATATCAATTCTGCCAGCTATCGATTTCGTCAGACATTTATACATATTCCTTACGTCGGCTATCATCGACTCCGATTATACAATTAATATAAGTAGAATAAACAGGTTAGAAACCTTGAACACTGAATTTTGTTGAATAAATTAGAGAAGAAACCTACTCACTAACTGATCCACTAAGGAAGGATTTTTGAAAATTCCACCCATAAAATAGGTTAAGTAGAGAGTGAATGTCAAAATATTTTGAGGACGGGAGACTCTAAATTGGATCAAAATGTACAATGTATAATGTGTACACATACCAAACTGCAGAGACATATAAAAATGGACAAAATCGCAAGTAGTCCATATATTATTAAAAATATATATAATTATTCCATTAGTGATCGCGTATTATATCATTAATACTTCGGTTCCATATTATTGTAATTTGTATAATAAAATAAAAGATTAATCGAAAAACCAAAAATCAGAATAGAACTACAAGTTTACATTGACTACATTTTCTAATATGGTCTCGTGTTATTAGTAACGGTTGTAATCTTTTGTGCGTTTTATGTTATACCTACTGTGTAAAAACGAATTTTGAAATATTGTTAATGAACGATTTGTACCTACAACCAATTTAAAAAAAAAAATAATTTGAATCAACATGAAAAAAAGTTCGATGGAATCGATAGCCAGCACAATCGATACATTTTTACAGGTAAAAAGATTATTTAGGCGGAATAAATTTACGTCCTTTGATAAAAACTCGGTGTTAAATCTTCATGTAGATATATAGCCAATAGCCAATAGGAGTTATGAGTTTATCGGTAGGCACGTGGACGCTAGAAACAAATTCTCACCTCTGAAAATATTTAAGTTTCCACGCCACTTTCTCAAGCAACATTCTCCGATTTTTATGTTTACCAATTTTTCAGAAAGCTTAAGTTGTGTAAATTGTACTATAGAGAAGTCATTTTTTTTGATTTTCGACGGTATTTTTCGAATAAAAGTACTTAAGTGGGAAAAATCGTAGAAAAACCTACAATTTCACGATTTCATTATTTTATAAAAATAAGAACAACGTTTCTATCAGGAAAACAATTTAATCGAGAAACCATAAGATATTTTTGTTGTTGCCTTTTTGGTTAACTTTCTTACGGTATCATTGCCAAAACTTTTGAACCACTTTTGAGTTTTTAAAGAATTTTAATTTTTGGTAGTTTTTTTTTGGCTGTAATTCGATTATAAATATAAGTAAAGACTTGAAATTTGGTAATAATACTTATATTGGACTTAACTAGACGTGGTAAAATTTCCAAAATCATCGGACGACTCTTTTTTTTAATAAGCGTTTTGAAACCAAATTTAAACAAAAATTGCAAAAAAATATTAGGGCACTCAAGTTATGTATTACCAATCTGTGTTCGGAATCATTTTTCGTCAAGTAATGGTTTATCGTTGCTTACAGGTATAAATGAAATAAACTCATGTATCCTACTTTCCCAACTACCTACAATAGTGGTCACTCCTATCCTCAAAATCAGCTCTTTTTTTTTTTATTCAGTCGCGTATTACATTTTGACTGTGATATACCTGGTGATGAATTTTTAATTCGAAACCGGTCATATAATACACTTATCATAATACTCCAGGCGAAACATTGATTCATTTATTTTATTTTTATGCATACATTTTTTATTTATATATTTATTTTCAATATTGAAAATAAATATATTTATTTAATATTACGACTTTTTTTCTGTGGACAATTTTTCAACCAGCAATTTTGATATAACTCACAATGATAGCAATTTTTTTAAAAATAAATTTCACTGGGAAGGTGTTTTAGAGAAGTAATTTTTCGGTTTTCACTGGAGTTTATCCTACAAAATCGGAAAAATCGTAGGAAAACCGAGAAAATCAGCAAGACACTAAATAAACATTATTAAAGAAAATATATAAAGCCTATTTAATTAGTTTACTATATTATAGTATATATATTGTTGAAAAAGCATCACAATCACCTGAACTCCGCTTAGAATAGTTTTTTTGTAAGCAACGGTTTATCGTCCCTATTTTTTTATTCTGTTAGCAATTTAACAATGATAATAAAAAAATGTGTTAATTCTTAATTTATCTTTACCTTTTAAACTTTTATGGCCTATAGTACTGTTTGAATATGTTTGGATAATTTTACATTTGTTTTTTCCTTTATCAAACCATTCTATGGGTACTAACTGAGAGGCTCAACATTTTTGCTTTATCTTCAATTACTGAATTACATCAAAATTGTTTCGATGTTCTACAACCAATATTATCAATGATTGTAGTAAATACTATTACCAGTAGCTATTTGATACCATCGGCCAGTCTTCAAACAATTATACAATTATAGGTGGTTTCTAATATAAGTGGTACCATTAAATAACAAGACATATGTAACAAATTAATGTAAAGATTTATTTCAATAAAAAAAAAAAAACGAGACCGCACATTGTTACCCCCTTTAACTTTCGCTACACTCCCCCTTAATCCAGCCTAGGGTTCACCGATTTGAGTATTTAGGACATAGTCTCCAGATAACAGTGAAATTCAATAATATGCTTAAAAGAAATCTGCATTTTTTTCATTTCCTTCCAAAATTAAAAACAATTTTAATTTTCCCATTTCAAAATCGCCATTGTATAGAACCGATTTTTAACTTGGTTGAGACTCGAAAGCATATAATATCCAGAATTTACTCGCTTCAGTGGCGTATATAAAAGAGGGGTACACCACAGTATGCCACAGCTTCCTCTCAAAAAATGTCTTTTTCGACAGAAAGATAAAAAGCAAAACTTATAAAGCATCACATATCTATTCTGTCACCCAGCCAATAATGTAAACACAATTAAATATATTTTATTATGTTTTTATTTTGAAATTATCTTTTATCATAATAATAATAACTATATTATCATTAGTTTTCTTTTTAGATAAGTTTTTTCAGTGAAATATATCGACGACAATCCCTTACCACTCACTAGTCCCCATAAACAGTGCCAACAAACGGCACCATCTCACCATTTCGTGTAAGTGCTTCACTTTGTACTTAAAGTGATTGCAATGATTGGTTAGGGTTTAGGTACCTACCTATCCTCTTAAATAAATTACCCGTACTTAATATTTACTGGAATTCTAAATAATAAATTTGATTTAACTTATTTTACTTATACGATTATATTACTCAAATAAAACTTTGTTTTACCAGACGAATCTTGATCCCGGCCCAATCATCTCGCCCTCCACCGAACGTTTTAGAACCATTGTCCATTACAGTCCACCTTGAAGATATTTTTTATGTATGCCACTGATTCGCTCTACTGACAAAATAGAAATAGTACGTTTTAAATTGAAGGACCTTCTCAATTCCAATATAATTGTATGCAGATTTATGCCCACACTCGTATAGTGAACGTCAGTGGCGTATTTAGAGTGCCAGGGAAGGTAATTTTCCAACACCTTTTTTGAGGGCATCAAATTTTAATGGGAGCTTATTTTTCTTAGTTTTAAAAACAAATTTACAATGATTTAGGCAAATCAATGTCAACAAAACGTTCCATCAATATAGCTATTCTGTACAATCAAATGGCCTCATCTGATAATACGTGTCTATAGGTTTGTCGAATATCTAAACTAAATATTGTGGGACATGTGGGTAATGATGTTAGTAAAATGTATCTGTTGTGTCAACTACATAGTGTGATACTAAATTACTGGAAGTTAATTTTGTATTTTCTTTGCATATTGTTGAACTATGAAAAGGACATTATTTTTATTAAACGTTGTGTTAAAATCATACAGTTTTCAAAATAGTGTAATTGTAAACGTTTTAATCGACTGCTTTGATTACGGTTGCTATTGAGATAATCTATAATATTCAAAATTCTGGAGCGCTTGATATATTTTTATACAGTATGTCTGTATGATACTGTTACTATACCACATGACGTGTTGTTAGTTTTTTTATAGGTGAGAAAAATTACCACTACCTATAAAAAAAACCGGTGGGGTTGGGGGGCGTTTAAAAAAATGTGTATCTAGGCCAGAAAAATCCTTAATAAGTACGCCACCGAGGAACGTATTAGTTTGATGAATAATTTATTATATCAGTTTACGGAATACCACTGGCGACCATGTCCCGTATCGGTGAGCCGGCAGAAATATGTCGGTGGCGAACCACGATCGCTCTCGATTCCACGTCGTGTCTCGGGCTAAGTTGACGTCCCGATGGTTCAGCATGGGCGGGTGAGAGGCGGCGCAAGGTCGGTAACCGCCGATAATATTTTGCTACCGAAAGGAATTTCGTAAAACTTTTCACCGGCGCGGCGTCGTCGTCGGTGGGCGGCGGCCCAGGGATTTTCGAGTCGGTGCGCGCGCACGTGCGTACGTACACATGACAACGCCTGATCGTTTCGGTCGCGTGCCGTGTATCGAAATACTTACGGTTTTTGTCCGCACGGCGCGCCCCGCAACAATCAGCCGAACCGCGTTCGCCTCTTGCTTATCGCCGGTCTCGCCATGTGTCCGATTCGGCACAATAATAATTTGTTGTGTGTGTGTGGTGTCTGCTGTGTGTGTGTGTGTGTGTGTGTGTGTGTGTGTATGTGTATGTGTGTGTGTGTATATATGTGTGTATGTGTGTGTGTGTGTATGCATGCGCGCGCGCGCCTAATGCCTATCTAGCCGAATATTATTATTAGCGTGAAATTATAATTATTATTAAAAATGAAATTTTCTAATCGAATGATCCGACATTCGACGATTATTATTAATAATACTTACGCACGATAGCGTCATGTTCAGAAATATTTACAGTACCCACTAAAACATTACTAATATTATAATATTCACAATTTGTTTAATATAATTCAATTTATTTCATGAATTTTTCGTTAAACCGTTCAAATCGAAAAACACACAATAATATGATATACACCAGTAACCAGTTTTATTAGCATTACCTACGTTCTATTGAAAGCCGCGTTTTCGCCCGGTACGCCTCTGCGTCTCGCTGGCGCACACACACCCGGCGTCCCGGGCGGCACCCGTTCAGTCGTCTCGCCGCCCTCCGCCTGCTCGTACGGATTTTCCTTCTTTTCTTTCTGTCGTTCTTTTTTTTTTTTTTCAATTCTTGTTTTTCTCTTCAATCTCTTCTAGTTGCACGGAAATACTATGTGTCCGTCACCTCCGACCGTCGCATATCGTGACGTGTTCCTAATCGTGCGCCTCAAATACGCATGTGGAAAATGCCATTGAAACCGGACAGTTCTTGACGGACTGCGGAAATTAAAAGCCAGTAGTAATTAAAATATAGTCACATCAGCTGTTATAATATAGCTGTGGTCGTTTCGGGTAATGATTATTTTGATATTATTGATTCTACCCATCCCCCCTCACATATGTACCGCCCACTTTTCGTCGAGAATGATCCTTACTACTCGACGATAATATTATTATAGTATTATCTATAATAGATCTCTTGTGATAACGGAATTTATTATTTTACAATTTAATACATATTAATGTTAATATATGTAAATCTTAACATGCAGAATATTTTCTAATTATAATATGTACTCGAGGTACTTGAATTTTTCCCCCTCGGATTTGGTCCAAAGGCGTGGTTTTCTGAATAATATATTCTTTTATTAAAATTATTCTTTTTTATATACTTATCGTTTTGTCATATTTTGTCTTTGTAATGTCCGTCTTCAATTGTTTAAATACATTTTTTTTTTCTGAAAACGTCCATTTAATTTTTACAATATATATGTTTTATAGTTTTTGACTATCTGCAATTAATAAAAAAATAAACAATAATTACCTCGATAATTACTTGCTTACATTTTTATTCAGTAAGTAGGTACATTTAATGGTTAGGTAGGTATATTGGACCAATAAATTGGATTATTGATAAAATCAAAATGTACCTACATCTTTTCTTCACTATTTAGCTAGGTATTTTCAAAGATTTTGTTTACATCAAATTGTATTAAATTTGTTTGGGATATACTTATTGTTATTTTTGAGACTCTTATTTGTTAACCAGAAAAAATAAACAATTATCTGCTTTATACATTATTCTATTATTTATTAATACACAACCTACAATCTAATGATACAAATGTCTAGTTTATATTATTTGTAATTAATACACCATTGTATCTTATTTTTAATTTTATACACTAACAATTACCTATTAAAAAAATAATAATAATATTATTAAAAATATATATTTGTTAAATCATTAATATTTTGATTACAATGTATTAAAATGAACTTCTATCATTATTAAGAATTGAATATTTATGATGTTTTGTGTTCTGTTCATCTGATTTATTTAACTAGTATTCGATACCTACTGGCATTTGAGGGCGCATTTTTTAATATTGACAAAACTTGTTTCTACAAAATCAAGTAACAAATTTGACCTTGTATATATATATATATATATATATAGTATATTTAAAGGTTTTATTCAAATGTAGGTATATTTTTAACTACTTATAGGTACCTAATTAGGTTTTTTTTATTCCATATTATTCTAACATATAACATAGAGGTCAAAGTTTTATAGGTACATATTTTGTTGGGTTTTTTGGGGGAAACTACATTTTGTTAAGGTTTTTATCATATATATTTCAAATATTTTTAAGAATATATAATATGTGTGTATATATATATAATTTGTATACCTATATTTATTTGAAGATTTATACCTAATAAATATATGAATCATATATCTATTGGTATTTCTGAGCAAATTTCCTATACATTCCTATCTTAAATAAAGAATAAGTAATAGTTAAGTACCTATTAATATATAGTTTTTAAAACCATATACTTAACAATATCTTACAAAATACAACACTACTTTGTTTCAGAATAGTTGTTTTTGTTCATTTTATTTGTTTTGAATACAAAAATAATCAGTCAACAAATCTAAAATAATAATCTTTTCCAATATGATGCAAAACGGAATGGATTCACTAGCACATAATGGTTCAATGCATAACTCTAATCCAAATTCTCATCTATCACAAGGGAATAATATGAATGAAGAAAGCAAAACCAATCTTATTGTAAATTATTTACCTCAAACAATGACTCAAGAAGAAATAAGATCACTATTTTCTTCAATAGGTGAAGTCGAAAGCTGTAAACTTATTAGAGATAAAGTAACAGGTAAGTTATTTTAAATTTATACTTTAATAATATACTTTATCATGCTCATTATTATGTATGATAATGATACAATACTTTTTGATATTTATTTATACTCAAATTTACTTAGGTGTAGTTAAAAGTATGTTAAAAAAAATGTATATTATATACATAATATCTGCATAATATAAATGCTATTACTGTGTAGTAAATAATTATATAAATGAAATAATTTTAATACTTATTAGGAAATATTGTAAAGGTAATGTAGATAGTCTTAATTTGTTCCTACAATAAATTTGTAGTAATTATAATATATTTAATTGAAAAAATGTTTATAATATTACTAAACTATTTTTTTATCACCACATTAAACATGATCAAAATATACCTAGGTAAAGTTTTTTTTCTGAAAATCTTTTGTTTTTATCTTATGATATTATTAATTAAAATTCTGTATTTATTTTTTTACAACAAAAATATGGCCATTTTTAAAACACTTCTATATAATTTTAATTTGTCAAACACTAACTCGTACAAATTACCTAAAATTGATTAGTTAACTTAAATTATTGACATTTGTATTGTAAACAATGTGGTTAAGGATTTTTTTTCACATAGGTATAAATAGAAGAAATATAATTTAAATATATTAAATAGTCCATAGTTTAAAATGTTGAATTGTATGTGTTAACAATATATAATATTAAATTTTAACAAATGTATAATTAGTTTAAAGTAATTGCAGAATAGTACCTACCAATTTGGTTAATAATTTCCATTAATATTAGTTGATATGGTGAATAAATTTATTTGTCTGTGAAAAGTAAATGAAAGCCAGTGAATAAGATTCATACAAATTTAAATATAAGTGTACAATGTTACATTATGATCATTTTTTTACTTAGTATAAAACAACATAATAAAAAATTGATTTTAAAAATATGATTAGAAAGTTCATTAAATGATGAATAATAAAAGAAATTTGATTTTATATTTGGAAAATAGAATTTGAATTCTTAACTTTTTTCACTGGATCATATTATAAAATATATTTGATAAATTCAATAAATGAATATTACTATAATAAAAAATAGACCCAAAACAAATTGAATGCCTTTGATTTAGGGATGGGTTGATACCACTTTTTTTATCGATATATGGTATTTCATTGTATTCTACCGATATTTGAATTAAAGAACATGAGTTAATATTGAAATTAACTGATATATTAATTGAAAGTCCTATTTATTAATAAAATTTTCATAATCCAATGGCATAATAGACAGTTTACTTATATTGTCAAATATTGATTTTGAAATAAATAAATCCTAATAAAACCAATACCACGATATCAAGTATTGGTTTATGTATCAGTTCATAGTCTTTATTTCTTCATTGTTTTATAATATATTCTTGTAGTATACAGTATGCCACTAATTTAAATACAATTTTTAGTTCCTTAGTAAATATTATAAAAAGAGTAAAAAAAAAAAATATGATGTATGCCTATGTGTATGTATGTATGTATGTAATGTGATATTAAAACTATAAATTACTGTTATCAAGGCATCATAATTAATTTTAATGTAGGTGTTATTCCAAAGTTATAATATAATAAAGTTAATTATTTTTAAATAACAAAATGTTATTTGTAAATAATGTTCTTTTAATAAAATATGATATTGTATACTCGATAGCTATAATTTTATTTTTGCAATTACCTAACTATAATTATTTTTTAATTGTGTCTTTTCTTACACTTAACAGTTATAAATGGATATGGCTATTTACATAGATATAGATTGAGGGGGGCTGTGGGGACCCAGTCCACAAATCATTTAACGCCCTTAAAATTATTTGATATTTTCCCTGAGTATTTACAAACCTAATTTAAGAAAAATAATTATTTCAATCCCCCCCCTAAAAAAAAGGTAATTTATCTCAATTTATGGGTATTTAATTAAAATAATATTTAAAGGTTTAATATTATTCTTTAATTACCAGTTAAACCAAAAAAAGTATATAAAAAAGTAATAGTTAGTATTTAACTAAAATATTGAAATTTAATATTAATATTTTATCAATTTTTAACCAACTAGTTTAACCTCAGTTATTATGATAAGCAGTTTTTTTTTAAATAAGTACCTAATCTGTACAATTTCCTTCTCTATTCTCCCTTGTTCAATATTCACTTTAATTAATAATTATTATTATTCTATGAAATGAAAAAATATATAATATATTGTACCTGATGGAGATGTATGTACATGATATCTATTATGTATGTACATTTTTATTTTTATTTACCTAAGGGAAAATGTTATCTAAATTCAATTTGTAGTTCAGTCAATTTTAATATTACACTAAAGTACCTACCAAATCATTTTAGTGTGTTGATCTAATTATAATTGTTATACATTTTATTGTAGAGACTCCAATAAAATATTTAAATAATTTTAAAAATACATTTTATTTTGGTGAGTTTTAAGTGTATACCTATGTGTGATTTTGTTTTATTATTCTTTGCAAAATGTATCTGTTCTTATTATTAAGAATATTTCATCTAAAGTATAATTATATGTTGTAAATACATATTTTAAACATTCTAGTTAAAAATTTAACAGAATGTCTCCAAAAATGATTAATAAAAATTAATTAATATTATTATTGTGAATATTCTCTATAATTTTAAAATTTAAAACTCAGTATAATATGAATATTGACTACTAAATAAATAAATATTATACAAATTGTCTTGTATAATTTTGGCTATTAAATTTATTACAAATATTAATTATCTTATTTACATTTTATGTATTTTCTAAACTCAAAAATAAAATAATAACTTTTTACTTAATCAGTTAATTTATATTACCTACATATAATATTATGTATATTTTAATATAGGTATAGTTTTCACAGTATAATATTTTTAAAACATTCTAGAAGTTTTTAATTATCTACATCTTTATTTATATAATTTAAAAACATAATTTTAAAATGTTTCATTTATAGAAATAATTTACTTTTCATGTAATTGTATTTAAAAAAATGTATGCAAATATGAAATAATAAACCAACTCATAATAAGTATCTTTTATTTTTTTATTTTTATTTTTCATGCCTTTTCACAGCAGGATCTCTTCCATCAGGTACTGTAATGCAATTCCTTGTTTGTTCTTCATATTGCAATTTTAAATTTAATACCAGTTACTATATAATTGTTTTTGTTCGTGTTTATGTTTTTACTATCTACTCAAGCTAGATTAAAAAAATATATATATTACTAAAATAATATAGGTGTCTACCTAGTATTTTAATTTATAAGTTATGTTAGGTATGTTTAAAGAAAATTTTGAGTTTTTACAAAAAACCCAGATAATATTGATATAAAATTAACTATTTTTATGTTTATTATAATTTTATTAGTGATTTTAAAGTATATAACATTACTATACAAACTAGCATTATTATCCAGATGCAAGTCTACTGTACATTATGATTTATTCTATTTAGTTTTTTTAATTTTTAAAATGTATACAAAATGTTTGATTTTCTAAACTATTAAATTTTAACTTTTAATTTTTTAAAAACACTATTATTGTATTTAGCACATCTAGTATTAATGGAATGGTGTAGATACTAGATAGTGAATTAATGACAATCTTTTTATGAGCTAAGGTTAAATTAATTATTTGTGATCTTATATTTTTTTTACCATTCAAAGTGAGTGGATTATTTATTCTTAAAATGTTATTAATACTATAAATCGTTTTACTACACTTCTGATCATTTATTTCTAAAAATTGTTGATTAGTATATTATAATAATTATTTTGCCTCAATTCATATGAACATTTAACATACATACATACTCTGTGTACTGTAATATGAATTTCAAGTTAACAAACATTTTTTAATAGGCTGATATTATTAAGTTAATCTGTGTGTGTTGTGTTGGATTATATGTAGTGAATATCATTTTTTTTTTTTTTAATGAAATTTTATAAAATTATATGATTTTATTTATTCATTATTTTTCCCCTTTTTTTGAACAGGTCAAAGTTTAGGTTATGGTTTTGTGAATTATCATCGACCAGAAGATGCAGAAAAAGCAATTAATACTTTAAATGGATTAAGATTACAAAATAAAACTATTAAGGTACATATAACTGTATTATATCTACCTATAATTATTGTGATATTAATTTATTAGTATAAATTTCACTAGGGAGGTACTTTAGAGAGGTCATTTTCGATTTCCCCAAAGTTTTCCCATCAAGTATGCAAAACCAGGATAAAACAAGGGAAAACTGGGAAAATCTGTACAACATTAAAAAAAATATATAAAGCTTATTTAATTATTTCACTATAAAATGATATATATATAATTGAAAAAACATCACTATCAACTGAACTTCGCTCAGAATCGTTTTTTGTAAGCAATGATAAACCATTACAAACCAAGTATACATTAAATTATCTATAACAGTGGCTGTACCTATCCCCATTATTTTAGGTTGTCTTTTGGAAATTTAATTTGGGCGATTCATATTTCATTTTTCTATATATTGAGTATTATTGGTAACTTTGGTAACAATGAAAAACAAACAATGATAATTATTATTATTTAATTTAGTTGTTACAGGCAAGAAAGTATATTAAAAAAAATAATAATAATTACCTGGCAACAATAAGGTGGAAACATGGGGGGAGACACAGTTTTATTTTTGTGTACAATAATAATTTGCAGGAGTAAAGAATAGGATTGCTTATATAGAATATAATTTTTTTTGTTTTTAGGTATCTTTTGCTCGACCTAGTAGTGAAGCAATTAAAGGGGCTAATTTATATGTCAGTGGTCTTCCAAAACATATGACACAACAAGATCTTGAAAATTTATTTAGTCCTTATGGTCGGATAATAACATCTAGAATTTTATGTGATAATATGACTGGTGAGTTTAGTTTTGTATACTTATCATTGAATTCTTTAAATTGAAATATTCTAATTGAAAAAATATTACTGATATGTTCACAGTAAGACAATTTGTGGGAAATCCTGGGGATCATTCGCCGTGTAAGTCATCGATTTTTATAACATAAATACTCAATTTTTCATTTTTAATCAAAAAAACGTTATAAATTATTATTTTTTGATAATAGGTGGGGATTATTTATAGTTGAAGATCAAATGAAATAATCAAAACAAAAATGCTTCATTCGAGATTAAATAGAATTTTATTTTGAATGTATTGGTGGGACCAGACCTTATGAAATGTTTAATTGATTAAGATGGGTGGGTCACAATTACACATAGGGAATCTTTTTTAAACAGTATTTCCTTGTTGTACATATATATAAAAGAATGTTCTATTTACTATGTTTGAATACCTATCTCACCTGGTAAAATTTATATAAGGGGAGTAGGAGCAATTAAACCAATCATCCAGTATAATGAAGTTAAAATAAATATTAAAAATTCAGCTAGCTATTCAGTTGAACAAAAGAGAAATGCAATATTTTATTTTTTAAAAATTGATTTCTGTTTGTTTAACCTTATCCAAGTAATAATAGTTATTATATATATAATATATCTCATATATGACATTAGTTTTACTATTTGTATAGCATTATTTTGATTGAAAATATACAATTTATTACTTTATAGGACAAACAATTTTTAATATTGACTACTTAATGCATTTAAGTGGTCAAATGTTTTATACAATAAATTTACTACAATTTCTTTTTAGCAATTTCAAAAGGTGTTGGTTTTATAAGATTTGATCAGAGAATCGAAGCCGAACGAGCAATTCAAGAATTAAATGGAACTGTTCCCAAAGGTTCCACTGAATCTATCACTGTAAAGTTTGCCAACAATCCCAGCAGCAACAAAGCAGTACCTGCTTTAGCAGCTTATCTAACTCCTCAAGGCGCACGGAGATTTGCTGCTGGCCCTATTCATCACCCTACTGGGCGCTTCAGGTATATTCCACTCTCCCCTTTATCCAGGTATGAACATTTCTTCTCTTCATTTGTTTTACAGCAATATTATTAGAATGAATTTGTTAAAACTTAAAACTTTTTGTCAATTAATTGATTTGATCAAATATAATATAAATATATAGGGTATCTTAAATAATTATAAAATTGAAAAAAAAAGAATTTCATTAAAAATAATAATACAATAATTTACTTATGACATTTTGCATCAAATTGTATAACAAAATATTTAATCATTAAAGTTCATTATTAAAAAAAAAAAACTAACACAATTGTAAATTTAGCAAACTAATGTATAAAATTTTGCCTTCATAAAATGTGTACAATTTAAGATTCATTTAAATATAACATTGTTTGGACTTAGGAACAATGTTTTTTCTTTTTAGATTATTTTTAAATTTCATAGATTTGTTCATTTAAATAAATTTGTTAATTAGACATTTCTAAAAAAAAAAAAACCAATATATATATATATATATATACATATTTATATATTTGTGGTCTCTCAAGTGCTTTTCATTTTATGAAATAAAAATTAAGTTAGTAATACATTTTGAATTCAATATTATTCAAATTAGCATTTTATTTAACTGTAGATTAAAAGTATTAAGCAAGATCTCATTTTACATTGTAGTATAATATAATTATTTACTTAATATGTTCTATTTGTATTTAAAGCTTTGATTAATTTTCATTAATTTTAGCATGTTTAAATAAAAGTAGTATATTACATTTTTTTAATCCTATTAAAATAGACTACTATCAATGTTAATTAAATACCTACTTTATTTATAAACTAAATTGTCTATAGTGAATTTAGGTACATATTCAATTAAAAAAAAAAAAAAATTGTTCATACATTATTATGTTAATATTTTTAGATAATAACTGTTTTTCAATATAATATAAATTATTAATATTAATTAAACATCACTTTTACATGTTTTTCAATTAAATTTTCCATTGAAAAAACAATTTTATTTGCATAACAGATTTATTAAAAGAAAATTTACAATTTTGAATGGCAAATAATTATAAAAAAGATAATATTCTTTTATAAATCACTCATTCTATAAAAATTATAATATATTTTTTTTCATGATACTTAGAAATATAAATACATTTTTTATGTATTATAATATTTATAAACAAATATTTACTGTTACAGTATACTTAACAGCTAACCTTGGATATTATACTAATTGGATGTTATAATATTTTTAATACCTAATAATAATTTTGTTCAATTGCTAACTGTTATTAGACTGTTTACTGAACCTCTGAACTCTAATTTTATATTATTATTGTTTGACTAATATCTTAAAATTGCTGACTTAACAAAAGTTTAATTTTCTATATTTGTGTAAATATCAAAACAATTGTATTATTTTTTTTAACTATATTTTAATGTAAAATTGTTCTGATTTTTAATTTTTGATCATTATTGATTTGACAGTACCTAAGTTTTTAATAAAAAAATACATTGTAATACATAATACATTCATTGTTTATTTTGTTCCATACAATTTTACAAAGTGTAGTAGTTCATAATTATTTTTGCTGTAAAATTGTATTAATTGTAATGTGAATAAGTCATAGGTACTTTATAAAAGTATTATTTATATACCAATTCAAAAAATAATTTATAGAATTTTGAGGTGTTGAAATGATTGTAATGTTCTTTAAGTTTTGTACAAGTAATGATTTTTATTAGAGAAAATATTACTTCTAGTTATATTTCACAGTTTTCAATAATAATAGTTGAATTAACTATACATAAAATTACTTTTAAAAATAAATAATTATTGCACATTTTCAATTAAATGTTTCATTTGTTTTAACTATCAAATTTAAAAAAGAATATTATTAATCCATAATTTTAAAGAACAGTACAACTAATTATGTAGTTATTAGGGGGAGGAGGATTCAGTTACAGTTGTGTGATAGTTTTAATTTATCTTTAATTAGGTATACATGTCTTCTTTTAGAATTTTTTGTTTAATATTTAAATGACCTCACTGTGAGATTAAAATAAAGGTTGTTATGCATTCATAAATTAAATAAAACTTTACAATTTGAAATTTAATTATATTTAAATTAATTCAGGGTATTTAAATTTATTCAAAAACTAAAAATTCTTATAAGAAATAGTAATTTTAGTGATAATCAAAATAATTTTACTTAAATTGACATTATTTTGTAAACCATTAAAAAATATATTTATATTTCTTAATAAATTAAGACTTGTCTAAAATCAAATGGAGAGGAGAAATTGTTCAAACCATTCCTGGATCTGTAATTAGTGTAATTAGTATCCAATGGATTGATGTAACACGAGATGGCATAGGTAATATATTTCCAATTATTTGTATTTAGTGTGGATGAGTACTTTAAATATATTGCTGATAGGAAGAAATTATTTGAATAGAAAAACCTGTAACCTTATTTGTGCATATAGAACATAGCAAAACAAAGCTAATGTTTCATGTCCGAAGGAGGGGGTGATATGCATGTAGAAATTTGCTTGTAAAAAAAAAAAAAAAAACATAATTTATTCCTTTTTAAGATAATATTAATATGTTTTAAAAGTAAAGTATTATTACTATTATTATTATTATTATTATTATCATTTTTTTTTTTTTTGTGAATACTTGTTTGGCATTATTCGGTTTATTTATCATGAATATAAATATAATGTATATAAATGGATATTTGTAAACTTAACTTATACCTGTTTCATTGATAAAAGTATATAGTAGAAATGTTATGAAGAAATTATAAGAATATTTATTGAACAGAATTATTTGTTTATTAAAATGCTACAATATTCTTCCTTCCATTTATTTTCAAGGATATTTTTCTGTTTTTCATAAATAAATAACCGAATAATATTATTTTACAATGTGTTAAAAACTTGTTCCTACCTCCTTTGCCTTTTTTTTACCTTTATTATTCAAAATACAAATTATTACTTAATTGATTAGACCAGCATTAAGACCTTTTTTTTTTTGGAACTTAATATTTAAAACTGCCGCTCGTTGTACATTTTTTTTTTATACATATTTTATTGTTTTTTTTTTTTATACATATATACATATATTTATATATATATATATATATATATATATATATGTATGTATATATGTATATGTATGTTTATTTTTTATTTTTATTTTGTTTTAGCACTGGAAAGACCATGCTAGCCATAAACAAAGGCTTACAGAGGTCAGTATAGTTTCTTTAATCAACCTCCTAAATCATAAAATATAAATTCATTATGAACAAATTTTAATTTATTATAAAATAATAACAATAAGTAATGTTAAAAACCCATTGGCAATATTTAATTAAAACATTTAACACCTTTTTTTTTTAATGGCTAATTTTTTCAAATATTTAATTAATTTGTTTTTATAAACTCTTAAACATAATTTAACATTTTAAAGTAGTTGATTTTTTGACTCAGTGTTTCCCAACCTTATTTACTCTAAACTTCCGTTTTGATTTTTAAAAATCTCGCTGTTCCATAAGTTTTTTTAAAAAAAATACTGATGATTTTTGTTGGTTATATTGGGAAATGGGCAAATATAGATAATAATATAATGTGAAGTTATATTGTTATATTATGTCCAAATTTTATACCTATATAATAATATATGTTGCATTTAGTAGGATTTAGTGGATATTTTTATTGTACAGTTTAAATGTAATAAGTGATCAATCAATTTAAGTGTTATAATAGCCCAAAAAATTAAAAATTCTTAAAAAGGGATGGTAGTGTTCACGTTGGGAATCACTGATTTAACTATAGGCTTAACATTTGGAACTATACTATTGTTTTACAAATAGTACTTTTAATACTTAATTCATACATAGTTATAGTGATATGAAATACTAAAAATAAAAATATGTCTTAAATATTATTATTTTAATAAAAACAAAATAATCACTATTACTTTTTAATTTAGCCTAGAGAAACCTTATGCAATAGCTTAAATTTATTGTAATTAACAAAATTGTAAAAAAGAAAAAAAACATACAATTGAATAATTTTATTTCATTTATAATGCTAACAAAAATAAATACTACTCCTTTTAAAGAGATCTTAGTTTCCCATCAATTCCTTTTTTTTATTTATTTATTTTTTTTTAATGTTTTTACTTTTCTGTTTAATAATATTTTACTTTGAATTAAAAGATTTTAAGTTTATTTGTTTTTTTTTGTGTTATTTTGATATGGCTGACACTTTACCATGGGTGGATTACTGTTTTAGGGGGGAAGTTGGGAAGGTAGGATGCTTAGAGTAATTTAGTTTATATGGGTATGCAATGATAAATCTTTCTTGAGGATAAATGATATTGATTTGTTTAAACATGTTTTTTGAAATGCCATAATTTTTAGTATAATTATGCAATTTCTAATTATAAAATAAATAAAAAATGTCTCTGATTTAACAAATCATAATTTGATGTTTTTATAAAGAGCTGAATATATTTTTACATATTTAAACATATGTTTTAAATGTGAATTATGAAAACTAACAAAATTTGAACCTTAAACCCTTATCAAAAATATCATGACTACATTTTCGGTATTTTTATAGTACCATAAAAAAAAAAATTGTGGTAAACCTTGTATCATATTTTTGAGAAGCTAACAAAATTTAATTTCACCATTAGACTAATATAATCTATATATAATTAAAACCATCAGAATATTATGAAAATAATAGGTTCACATTTAGAAATGGCTAATATAAGTATTAGGTAAAATAATCAGTTCTGAACAGAAGTTGTTATTACATAAATATTTTATTTATTCTTCTTATTATATAAAGTGTAAACTAAAAGAAAAACCCAATGCATCAATTACAGTACCTCATTTATAATACTCACTGTGGGACCAGCACAAAGTGAGCCTTATAACTGAATTAATCTTAAAAAGGAAGTAGGGAAAGGATAGAATGTATTTGGTTTTATCCAGACCATTACAAGTAATTTTGAGTCTTACAAGCAACTGAATCTTATGAGTATTCATTGTATATACTATTTTCTAGGAGAAACCCTCCCTTAAGTTGATGGTTGTTCAGAATAAAAAAGAACTACTGTAAAATTGGATAAAAAGTATTCTTTGCTATGTTCAGTATCTAAAATATAATATAATATAAACATATTATTTACAGATTATATTAAGATTGTATAAAGACATCTATTTAAGGTACACACTGTTGTAATAAATGGTACCTATGGTGGTGGTGCTGATAAAATTTGCTGTTTATTTTATAATATTGCTTTACAATGTTATCATTATCATCACTGTATTGTTTTACCATACTCCTCAGAGTAATAACTGTTTTTTTGTTTTATCTATATTAATCAGGTAACTTATAAATCAACAAAAATAATTCAATTTTCGTTTTAAAAATTTGAAAGACATTGTGTAGAAGTTAAATTTCGGAAATCTGATTTAGAGGTGTACAGGTTTTGATAGTCACAGAAAAACAACACTTCCTTTTTTGTTGATGTAGATTAAACAGTATTTCATACTAATTAATAATTTACAATAAAATATGTTAAATTATAAAATTATAACCCTTGTAATTTCATCCATTGTAAAAAAAAAATATTTTAACTTTATTAAACATAAATAAATTTGGTTTTTCTTTTTAGATATTCTCCATTAGCCGGTGATTTATTAGCCAATTCCATGTTACCTGGAAACTCAATGAATGGATCTGGTTGGTGCATATTTGTGTATAACCTGGCACCAGAAACAGAGGAAAATGTTTTGTGGCAACTTTTCGGTCCATTTGGTGCTGTACAGAGTGTGAAAGTAATCAGGGATTTGCAAACAAACAAATGCAAAGGATTCGGGTTTGTTACAATGACTAATTATGATGAAGCTGTGGTCGCCATTCAATCTCTTAATGGTTATACGTTAGGCAACCGTGTACTTCAAGTATCATTCAAAACCAATAAAGGTAAAAATGACATTAGTGATTTAGAATTTTTATTACAAAATAAAATTTAGTAAAAATTAATAACAAACAAATGCTATCCTGATGATTGATAGTTCAGTGTTGAAAAAAAAGTTATGTGCAAATAAATTAATACGCGAGACCATTGTAATAATTTAAATGTTATAATTTTTAGGCAAAGGAGATGCATCCAGTTTGTTAATGTCTCTTGCTGATTCATTAACTGACTGTTAATAATTTCAACAAACTTCTTCAAATATTTTCAAATGTTTACATAATTCTCTCTTCTAATACATCTTTAACTGACTTGCAAATTCAATGATATTTATCATGTCTAAAGAAGGTAATTTATGTTTATTTATATTATATTTTTAATTAGCTACATTTAAATTAATTCGCGTGCACCATAATAACATTATAAAAAAAAAAAACACTTCAAAGCATATTTATAAATAATATAAACAAATTATAATTTTTTTTTTCTATTAATGTTATAATTTCCCTAAACATTTTCTTAATGTTTGTGCAATATAATTATTGTTGGTACCTATCTTATAAAAAAAATCCCTTTTTACTTTACTTTTGGAACAGATTCAAATAATAACTGCAAATGCATGTTGACTGATAGTGTTCTGTTCTATTTAACGTTGCTAGTCTAAGATATTCCTAATATTATATATTTTAAATTTAAATATTTATTTATTTATAATATTTTTTTCTTTTTCTTTTGTTGCTATTATTCCATTTATATGTGTGCGTGTATTATGTGTGTACATACCAATGTAAGTGTGTTTACATTGAATATAAAATCCATTTGTATTTAGGTAAATAACATTTACTAATTGACATAAAAATTATCTATGAAAAACTTTAAATATATATAAATATATATTATGTATATAAATATATATATTTTATATATATATATTATATTATATAAGTCATTGTAATATTTTTACTTTTTTACTCACCCTGTAATGCCACCCAGTACCAGAAATAACAATACATGTGTATGTAGGTATGGTTTACTTTAATAACTACCTACTTAATTTAACCACTTCCATAACCAATGGGGGAAAAAAATTAAAAATAAATTATAATAATTTCAGACTAAAATAACATAATTTTTCAATCATATTATTGTTGCTAAATATTTTAGAGTAAAAATTCTTATGAATAGTATAATTGAGTGTATGAACATAATATCATAATAATCAAAAAAAGGTATGCAATTTAGTTTATACAAAAATAATACTTAAATATTTAAAAAAAATACATATAAATTCATAGAAAACTTGTTGGGTTTGCATTTACTAATAATTTTGAAAGAATCAAGTCAATTTCTGTATAATGTATCTAATATTAAGTAATATTAAAAGTATTTTCTTTCAACTTTGTTGCTTACGTACATAATATGCAGTTGTGTATTGAACACCAAATTATCAAATTACTTTCCATACTATGCTTACAAACTAATGTGATCTCATTGAATAAAAAAAATCCATTACAACATTGTTTACAATAATAACAATTATTACATAAATAAAAAAAAAATATAGAACAGATTGTTGTATGCAATAGTATAACAGGTGGACTTATTGGAGATTATTCAAATATAGATGTGTTAACAATTTATTCCAAAAAAATCAAATACACAGGGTAAATTGAAGAAAAAGAGTCCAATACAAAAATAAATTAACAACACTAAAACTGGATATTTTTAATGCTAGGCTAATCTTGAAAATTATGAATACAATTTACAAAATAATAACCATTGAAAAGAAAACATTGAATATTGGTTTTTACAAAATTTGTTGTTCAAGTTCGGAGTATAATATTACTGATCTATTGATTATAATATTAAAATTCATTGATTTAAAACTATATATATTTATAAAAATTGAAGAAAATGATTTGAAAACTATACTGTAAATACTATTGCATAATTTTATTCTATGCTTACACATTTAAAAATTAAATGGCTAAATATCTAGTACTAATTATTATTTATTATTTCTGTAAAAATCTTCTGTAAGTCCACCCAGTTCATTAGTTTTTTTGATGTCAAATTGTTGATTTAATTTTTGCTTCTTTACTTTATTTTAATTAATTTTAAGGTCTTTTTGATATCTTCTAACTTCCATATTATTTAGCTATAATTATTTAAAATATCAGTACCTGATTACAGGTAAGTAAGCTAAGTTACATTTTTAGGCTGAATTATTATCAGTCTAATTAATTGTTCATTCATATTTTAACATTCCATTACGGTGTTTAATAATAATGAAAATATAATATATGCAGATCATAAAAATCCGATTTTTTTTTAAATTTCAGTTATACCTACTGTGTAGTTTATTTATTATAACGGAAACTTTTATGGAATAAAAAAAAGACTTTAATAATATTTTAATGAGAAAGAGACTGAAATTAGTTTACAAGTACCTATAATAAAAGTTAAGATAATGACATCAAAAAAATGTAAAGTTATAGGACACAATATTTATTATACCATTAATTTATTGGTGAGTTTCTTCAGTATAATAAAACCGACTGCAGTTACGTTTTTATTTTACTTGGTCTCAATAATTATTGTTATTTTGTAAGTACTTGTAAATCTTTTTAATATTCAACAGATCAATTTTTAATATTTTACATATGTGGTGCTTTATTCCAAAGTCTAATCCTTTATTTAGCGTATCTATAGTTTTTATTGTCTGTATCTTTGAATATTAAAAAAAAATATTAAGAGTAGATTATTTTTTTGAATAAATATTTTGCTAAATTTCGCTAAAATTTGAATTAAAAATTTGATGAAAAAAAATGTTACCAAATTTTATTTAGGCATATAGGTGTATAAGTGCTTTTATTTTAGTATGCATAACTTTAACACATCTATGAATTGCAGGTTTATTTTTTCTATTCAAATATTGAATTATTTCCCTTATTTATTCTTTTAAAAGATATTAAAATTCAAGTCCAACATTTATAATCAATAGTAATATAGGTTAGATATTAGCTAACCCAAGTACTAAGTGATTTTTGTGACTTGTGTTACTCACAGATTCCTGTGGTACATGTTTTTATATATATATACTTATTGAAGTTTGTAATTTCCAAATATCGTCAAATTGTATGTTATGATTAAGTTATGTATGCATGCATGTATGTATGTTTGTATGTATGTCTGTTTATATTTTTGTATACATATTATAGTTATGAAACGTATTATGATAATAAAAAAATTAAGTCAATCAAAAATGAAATTTCATTGAATATTCTAGTCATATTTATATGTGTGTGTAATTTTTTTCTATATATTTTTTTTGGTGCTAAATTTATTATTCCCCTTCATGATTTTTTTTCATTCTATTTTTTTCATTTTTTAATTGTGTGATTTGAATTTATAGTTTATAGATGATAATACATAATGCCTATATCTTTTATATACTATATAGATTGGTATATACACTTAAGTTTATTTCGACTTCTATGTTTATTCTATGCATTTTTGATTTTTATTTAGTTTGAATTATAATTATTATAAGATAGGTAAATTATTATATTATTTTTAATCTCTGTAGTCATGTTGGTACCATATATATATATTATTATATTATAATAGATATAATATTAGATGAAGTATTACTGCAACAGATTCGGTTAAGATTTTTATTAATAAATAAATTATACGCTATCACTCTTATATTATTTTAATGGACTACTTTTTATGGTTTACATTTATTTATTTTTTCTTTGCACTTTAATAATTTCATCTCATGTAAATATATTTAAGTGAGATTATTGTTGCCCCAGAATTATAAATCTAATTATCTATTAAAACTAATTTAATAATAATACTATGTTTAAGCCTAATATATAATATAATATTAGGTACTTATTTACAAATTTGTTTTTTTCGCATTCAAAGTAGGAATAATAATTTTATACACTTTATGAAAAATAAGTACCTATAAAATATTACATTTTATATAATATACATACGCGTATTAATAATATTACGTAACTCATTAAAATATCTCAAAAATGTATATACTAATAACTAATATTGATAATTTATAATAATAATAATAATAATAATAATACTAATAATAATAATAATAATAATAATATAATAATAATTTTACTCGAAATAATTAATAAAATAATTGCTATAATAATATATTATATTGTACTCTCAACTAATTAATAGGTACCATTAATAATTGAAAGTATTAAAAATATCCAGTTTTTGTATATTGTGTATATATATAGAATAATATATTGAATTCTATATTATTATGTATTTGCATTTTTGAAACTCGACATCAGAAAACTATTGTAAATGTATGTTATAATCTTTCGGAAATAAATTTTTAGGTAACTAAATTAAATTGTTTAGAATATATAGATTGTCTGATGATAAATTCAATTGAAATCATATTTCAGAACGGTAAAATGTTTTGTGAATTGTACCTATATATTCTGTATAATAGAATTTAACTAAATTGCAAGTAATAACAATAATTATACCTACATACATACTTACCTATTACATTTGAAGTATATACCGTATAATATACGAGTGTAGGTAATAATCAGTGGTGGTTCGAAGTATTTTTACCTTGCATCACTGATTTAAATTTCCACCCATCCACCCATCCATGCCGTCCCAAAATACCCCCACAGCCCCATTCTACCACAAATTCCAATTAAAATGGTTAAATTTCTGCAGTTTAAAATTCTTTTAATAAATTTTATTTTGTAAAAATATAATATTTTTGTTATATTTCTTATATACCCAGGCACCCACGACCCCCCACCCATTTTTTTTTTATGAATCACGTAAATCAAATGTACCCTATCCAAGCCGCCACTGTCGTATACACGAAAATATATTGTATTAATTTAAATAACGCACATAAATATTTACTTAAATTACTTTATATGCTGAGATTTAATGCGCATTTATCTTACTGGGTATTGGTTTTGACCAAATTCCGGAATCAAAACAAACGACGGCCATGTGATTCTCGTTTTGTGTTTAATTATTTGTTATAGTTTACTATATTTTACTACGATTATTTATTACGGTTTAAAATCCGTAGTGTGCTATAATGCATATTTTAAGTTTGAATTTCGTAACAAATTTGTTTTTTTTTTTTTTGGAACGAAAACAAATTTCGGAATTTCATTTATCGATAAATTCTAAGCAAACCAAAATAAATATTAGTATGTATTTTCATATATATATATACATATTATGATACATAAAATTCAAATACCAAAGGAAACAAAAATATGTGGAGTTTTTTCTAGTATATCAGATTTTAAGCAGGGTTATTTTAGATTTTTTTTTCTCTTAATAAAATAAACAACAATTCTACAAATATAATGAAATAATTTCAAATCGTAACATTATTTTTACAGAAACAGGTACATTATATATTCTTTGAAATTACCCATGAGCGGTGTTCTTATTGTTATATTGGTTATCAATGTCTGACATTTGTGTATATTATACAATAATTTATAATATAAGCGTCGATAAAAAGAACCTAATCAACGTTTTGGCGTACAGTGAATATGTGAAAGTATTCATAATACTAGACTTTCATAATCAATACCGTTTAGTCGATATTGATATTAAGGATTTAATACAAAGGTATTAAATCCTTTAAAATAACGACATATTTTATTATGATTCTATCGATGATTTTTTTCTTGTTTTTTTTTAATTCTATTACCGATTTTGGAAATAATAAGTTAACTATAGTATATTAAAATCATAAAATAATTCTTGATGATTGATCATATCGGTGAACGGGTACCTACCTATATACTATATCAATATTATTAATTATGATCGGACGCCGTTATTTAGGTTTTTTTTTCCATTTCGCTCATCGTTTTATAATATGTTTTCGATTAATCGACATACATTGTATTACACCTTTAAATCGTTTAACAAGCATTACCAGGGAAATTTAAAACTACTGCATTAAAATTGATAACAACAACACAAAAAAAATAATAAATATATAATTATACAATCTAATTCGTTTTGATATAAGAAATTTTATTTTTCTTAATAGCAAAATCGCAGCCACATAACAATCTGTTCTATACGCGGTATAATATTCTAACTGTATCGATAATTTATATATAATAATTTATTTGTAATATAATCGTCTATACAAAAAAAAAATATGTATAAATAAATAACAAATTAAAACTTATAAAATTTTTTCCCTCAGATTTCGAGGATTTCGCGATATCCGTTTCGGTGATTACCTAAACAACGAGTTGTTTTACACATGATGATGTTTCATAATAATATATATTACCTACCTATATAATATAGGATAATAATCAGTTTTCAATATTTAATGTTTTGTACTTAAATATTATTATTATTGTTATAACCGTGAGAGAGAAGACAAAGAAGGAGAAAAAAAGATAAATAATTGTATATATTCTACATAATATAGTGTGTCAGTTAATGTGGTTTTGAAAGTTTTATTTATGTATATAGCAGGGCAAATGGCGACAAATGCAAAAAAGTTATCAATCTATAATCACGCAGATGCGTACACATAGATTATTTATGAGTGGGTGATTTTGACTTATCAATTATTTTTAATAGGAGTGGATTGAGAGTTTTAAAAATAATAAATATTGAAGTGTTAATATTTAGTTGGAACAAGTTAGAGAGAAAATTAGACCACCAATCCCCCTCTCTCTTACCAACGCTTCTTTAAAATCATAGCACTTATTATTATTATTCTATATTGAACACAATATATAAATATCCATTGCCCTTTGTTTACATTTTATGATAATATTATTATTTTGTACAGAGCTGAGTAAAAAATCGTTAAAATGGACTCCCGTCACGTTGTTTTATTGTTATACCTACCTATAATGTCTAAATAATAATTGGTTCTATTTACTTGAAAAGTTTGAGAAACATTATTTTTTGTTCTAATAGGTAGGTGCTTTTTTTACTACGATACAAATATTCGTTCGTTAATCGAACAATTTTGAAATTATGATAGCAATAATATATATAGGTGACGAGCATTGAAAAATAAAAATTTCTTGCTAAAAGTCATATATAGTTATATAGGGATTTTTAAAATAATTTATAGAAAGTTTGTTTTGTTATATTTTTAATACAGGCTAATACAGGCATATAAATAGTAAAATATTATAATATAGTCTACTTTGTTTATAAAGAGTATATATTTTTTGAAATGTCGTTTTAGTTTAACAATAAACATTTACGTTTAAAATATTATAATAATACTTGATACATTTTTACATGGTAGGTTTTATTATACCGGTTTATACGAAAAGTTTATAAATAGTGATAATAATTTTAAATAACGAGTTTTCTTTCGAATATGATAGTGAAATTATTATTATTGCAACATTTTCTAATTGATTAGGTATAATAATATAATATATATTATATAAAAAAAGAAAAAAAGAAAAAAAGAAAAGATAAAATATTAATAGATATTAATTAATAATATCGTAATGATCTACTTAATAATATATATGAACACGCTGGCAAATACAATGTAATATTATAAAGAATATTTCGAATAGTATTTACGCTAAAAATCTTCTAATCGAAAAAAAGATTTAAAACGTTAAATATTACCGATAAAAATAATATTATATTAAAAACACGCGTGTTCCCCTATTATTATTATTAATTCCTATAGTTAATATATTTTTGCATATTATCACAAATATTTTTACATGTTTTTCAAGTGAGATTTGTATGAGCGTCGTTATTATTATTGGACTGTGTTATTGAAGATTAAAAAAAAAAAAATCTAATAATATTGTACAATAACATTCTCTATACGAGATTGTTTTAAGTTTAAAAGCTCGGGGAGGGGGGGAGAAAAAACATTTTTTTTTCTAAAAGAAAGAAAGGGGTGGCCAAATTTCGGTTGTACGATTTACGCTCGATTCTTGAAAAACCAAAGTTCAAAGTTATATAGTTTCTTCACCTATACGTTTATTATACAAAAAAACAAAATAAAAAAATATCGACATTTTGAGCACCAGATACTCGATATTTTTTTTCTAATTTTTTAATATATATAATTTTTTGTATACTAAAACTATAAATAACTAACTTTGCCACTTTTATTTGTTTCGAATCGCATGTAAATCGGACGGCATTGACTTTTGACCACCCTGTATATATATAAATATATATTATAATATATATACGTAGGTAACGTAGACGATAATGATAATATAATAATAATTATTGTATTACTAATATGTATTATATTATTATAAAACGTCACGTGTATCCGGGTCATTGCAATAATTAATCTTATTCCGAACATTTTGGTTCGTTAAGTTTTTATAAATAAAATAATAATTTATATCGTATTTTATGCAATTAAAAAAAAAAAATTTAAAAAAAAATACATACTTTATAAACTATATAAATATTAATAAGTATTTAATAATAATTATTACCTACACTTATCTGGCAGTGTACTTACCTTCCATATTGTATTGGTATTATAATATTATAATAATAAGAACACAACCGCGTGTAAATTATTATTATGATCTCATTGAGTTTTTACCCACTTTTGATATTATTACTCATTATTCTTCGTTCTTTTACTTCTATAATATTATTATACTAATATATTGTTGTAATAATATTATAATATGGGACGTTTTCACGCAATAATATAGGATTGCCGACGAAAATGAGTAATTAATTGATTTATAATAATATTGTCTTATTCGTTTATTTATGTTCTTATCCGTCTACGTTATATTGTATTCCATAATGTATTGTCCCAAGTACCTATCATAATAATACATAAAATATGCATATTATCGGATGTATACGTGTACACGTATATAATATAGTATTTATACATTTTTTTAAAAGCATCAAATTTTCTGTAATTACCGGTTGTTTTCCACTCTCATCATCCAACCGTTCTAATTATAATTCTAGTCATTATAATAATTTAAGATTATACCATTATTTATAAATAGGTATAGGTAATATAATATATAAATATCGAGTAAAAACAATTTTCTCGTCTATTTTTCCAAACTTTAATTACTTATGTGATAATATAGTCTCCATCGTTCCATCAAATAAAATAATATGTTCTGAAAATATTTCACGCTATTTTTTGGCGATTGAGACCGTACCTATTTCTCATTGAAATTGTTAGTATAAACAAATCAAAAAAAAAAAAAAAAAAAAAATAATAATAATAATAATAATAATAATAATAAATAAATAAATAAACCTAACCCTATACAATGATATTCGTCCAATGTAAAAAAAAAAACCAATTATTCTTTAACAACCTTAAATAATTTTCTTAAACCATGGCAACTATTTTTACAAATTGATAAGATGAACTCCTTTGTCTTCCAATCTGATTTCTTTCTGTGTGTATTTATAATTTCGTAATTAGTAAAATTATATTTGTGTTTATGGGTTATTGACTTATACTTTTCGCCGAAGCACTTTATGGTTTATAAATAATAAAGAATTACACTTCTATTAATTATAATAATATTATAAAGTTATGTAAAACAAAAAATGTTTATTATAAAAAAAAAAAAATGTTTAACTATATAGGTAACCTATATAGTTACTATATAGGTTACATTATACTTATTATAATAGCTTTGATTTCGATATTTGTGTGTATTTAAATTATTATTATTATTATTATTATTATTATTATTATTATTATTGTTATTATTATTATTATTTTTATTATTATTATTATTATTATTATTATTATTATTATTATTATTATTATTATTATTATTACTTATACTATATTATTATTATACAAAATATACAATATTATTATCATTTTATTCTCATTCTTATTTATATAGTAACATATTATTATACAACTAACAAAATAATTAATGCTATTATAATTCATTTTAATTCGATTTATTATATTTTCGATTCTATTATTATTATATACTTGGTAAAAAAAAAATCATCCCTTCATGTCTGTATAATATTCGTGTATGATTTATTTATTTTTTCGATAATTTAAGTTATAACTATTGGGGTGTTTCATTGTATTAATATAATATTATTAATATTAAACATTATACGGATTACTTGAAAAACACATTTTTTTTTTTCAGTTACGTTTAATGAATATCTAATATTACTTAGAGTATATAATAATTTCTGAGTGTTTTCACTCGATTTATTATAAAATACATCGTAATTGATTTTTTTTCTACACTAAATAAAAATGTACAACATTAGCCGAGAAATAAAAGAGAAGTATTAATCATCGTGTATGATATTAATTTTTTTTTTTTGAAACACTCCATATATCAATCTAATTTTTAGGTAATTAGATAACTATTACTATAATTATAGGTGTACTTATTATTAATTAATATATTTGCATTTTTTCTTCATATTCTTTTAGTTTTTTTTGTTTTTTGTTTTTTTTTTTTTTTTTTTGTTTTTTTTTTTTCTTTATATTTATTACAATATTATATTAATTTATTAATTTAGCACCTTGCGAGTATATTTGATTAATAATTAATGAATGAGTTCATTGTGGTTTTTTTTCGACTAATTATTTTTTTCTTTATTATTGTACTTATTTTATTATTAAAAAAAAAATATATATATATATTATTTATCTATCTTATTATTACTTACATAATTATTATTATAAATACGGGCAAGTTGTGTAGCGGCACTCTTGATCCGTGTCCAGTAGTATGAATAATTTAAGTTTATTTTATACAACGATCTTTTCCGTACATATTATACTCGTATTATTATTATATATTATATATAAATACATATTATATATACATATTATATATTTTACCAGTGCACAAAATGAGTGCTCAAGTGGATTATATAAAATTATGAAAGAAAAAATATACTAATAATAATAATTGTTAATTGTGTTACATTATGCCGTGTCAACGAATCGTTTTTAAAATTATACGAAAACATATTTAAAAGAAAAACGCATTTTTTTTTTATTATTAATTAATATTCGATTTTGTTTACGATCCTGACTTACTACCATCATAAAACGTAGGTAATCGGATAATGTAATAATATTCTTTCTGTGAGTTTGGCTAGATAGATATGGATGTTCGCGTAGTTTTTTCCAGAAGTCAAAGGTGTATTTTAAAAATTAAGATTTTTGTTTTTTGTTATAAAAGAAACTTAATATAATATTCATTATCGTATATAAGAATTAAAAACCCAAGCGGGGGGAGTTGTTATTAATCCGTTTTGCCTCTTCTCCGGACGCCCATGGCTATATTATAGTGAAATGCTGTTCTCGAAAATCTATACAATTTAATTTACTTTTACTTGTGACAACAAAATATCAATGTGATGAATATATTATGGCCGATGAACTAAAAGTAAAGAGTAAAACTTGGGATAAAAACAATTTTGCTCAAAATTAAATATAGCAGTAAAATATACCGGTAAAATTTTAAGCCGAAACGAAACGTTTTCCGCTTTAGTTGGACGATAATATTGTTGACTGTCTTGCTGGTTTTTTAGCCATTCATCGTTGGAGACGAAAAATCAGCTATATTGCTCTTTGGAAGGATAAATAATATGGTAAATGTTATTGTGACGTCCTCTTGAGATCAATTAAATAGTGCATATTTCATACCTAATGTGATATCTAATAAAATTACTGACCCTAACGTTGAAAATAATAATATTCTTTTCCTATTTGTTGGGCTTTTATTTTTGTTTGGAGGTATTTTTACTATCAAGGTCGACAATATATTATATAGATTCTCTTGGAATCGTTTTGTGAGAATGGTATGTATCTTCAATGTATTATTATAATAATATGTATCATATTTATATATTATAATAATACATTGGATAAAATCCGTCCTTGAATGAAAACAATAATTATAATAATAATAATAATAATAATATTATTATATGTTATCTACTTATCAACAAATATTGACTTTTTATGAATCCAAAAAATCAAATCCAATCATATGAAATAGTTGAAGACATATTATATTCCAGTTGATGACAAAATATACGTACGTATACTCATCGATGACAATTACTTCAGTCAATACCTAAGTACTGTGATAATAATAAATAAATAAATAAAAAGTTTTGTAGGAATATAACAATTGTATCAGTAGCAATCCCAAGTTCTCGTAAAGTAATAATTATTTTAAATTTTTATGTTTAAAGAATACAAAAAAAAAAAATCTGTACATGTATAATATCTACACATACATGTGTACATTTTCATATTATTATACCTATTATAATATATAGACATGCGGTCAATATATAAAACATGTATTTATATGCCCTATGACTAGGGTGTCTAGGTGTATCCGAAATTAATTTTTTGAGCTTGCCATCTCTACGATGACAACAAGTAGGTACTACTACTAGACTACTACAGAATACTAGAATATTGACAATATTAAGTTATTTAACATAACATATAATATCAGAACTACAAAAAGCTATAATTTTGAAACTATATCGGTCCACTCAATTCTGACTTCACTATATTCTTAATAGGCAATATTTATAATAATTAAAAAATTAGATTTGTTCCATATAATTTTTCATTCAAACGATTTTTGTTAAAATTTGATAAAAAAATCGTTTTATAAAAAAAAAAACAGTACATTAAGCTTACTTTTTTTTACCACAAAGTACAACTTTTAATTAACTTCCTTCAATTTTCACGTATTTCTGTTTACACTAATAATTTTACCACAGAGTAATTACTGATTGAAAATGACCTACAAAATTTCAAAATTAAAATGTCTATAAATAGTTCGAAAATTGCAAATTTGAAAATTTTATCATATTTAAAAAGGCAAATATGTTTTCTGTAAAATTTCATGTCTACAAATATTCTTAACTAAATTACATGCAAAAAAATAATAAAATTATTATTTTGTAAATTTCCTGATTTTCATATATTTTATCCTGGTTTTTCTCAGATACTATAAATACAGCTTAGAAAATTAAAAATGACCTCTCTAATGTACCATCTAGACAATATCTCCATTCAGAAATGGTGTCACATGTACATATAGGAGCAAGATTTCCTGTAGAAATTTGTGTCACGGTATAAAAAAAAAAAACCTTTGTAAAACCAATATATTCTTCATTACACTCAGAATCTAAAATACCAATGTTATGTTTTATTCATCTAATGATATATGACTGAAGGTAAATCTATGCTATACTTATTTTATCTTAGTGCTAATAGGCTGAACTCCAGTCTCACTAAGGATATAGTTAGATTTATTGAATCTATAGAAGAAATACAGGTTATTTATTTTTCATAGGTGGGTGTTGTTGCTCTATTTTAAATAAATATGAATGTTTATATACTATACTAATTTTCAGGAATGGAAAGATACTTCAAAATTAATGCACTTGATATTTAAATTTTAAATAGTGGTTAATAGATACCATTCATACATTACAATTAATTTGAAAAGTTTTATTCATTTTTGGAAAATTATTTCTGGTATAACATTTTTTTACCCGGATATCTGAATTATAAAAAAACTACAAGCCAACTCCAGTATTCAATTCTATTAGTTTTTTTTTTTTTTTTAATAAAAATAAAAATTGTTTGTTTTATTATGACAGTAGGTTCAACATCAATATTTTTTATAAGACTATATAACAATGTTACAAGGTACATCAATTATAATATAAAAACTGTTTACTGTAGTACATAAAACTGCATGCGAATTACTTTTATGTAACAAAAGTTTAATTTTTAGTCAACTAAGGATTCAAATTTGACAAAATAATTATGTGCACATGAAATATTAATTATTCTAAGGTAATCATTAATAATATTTTAAATGGAAACTACATATAAAATACACAATATAATTATCAGATATAGAAATAATTTTCTCTTATGTGATATCTACATTTCTTGTAAGTGTTACAATTCATACTAAAAATACATTAATAACTAAGAGCTAATTAATTTCAACAATGCATCAATTGTATGTAAAACATAAACAAAATACTAGTGGATAGTAATTAATTAACACAAATAAATAAATTGGTATATTATATAAAATATTTTGTATATCCTCTGTAGTTAATAATAGCAAAATAAATGTATACAAATAATTTTATCAGACTAAGTTATACAATGAATCAAAATTATACATGAATAATAAACTTTAAAAACCAAATGATTAATTATTTTCCTAATAATAAAAATAAAATTTTGTATTGCTAATGGTAGATTCAATTAATTGTTTTCTCCCTTCTAAGTACTATCCAACCCAAAATATGTGTTAAAATATTATTAACATTTTTAAAGTATATATGACTTGAACAAATTAATATAAAACAAAAATATCCTATTATTGGAGTATTCAAATTAATGAACAGAACAATGTATTCATGTAATCATATTTTATATTTAGGTTAAATTATAAATAGGTAATACTAAAAGGCACATACTTAACTTTAAATAATTTAAAAACAAAAGCAAAACAAATGTGTATTATCACATAATATATATTACTTAAACATTATAATGCATAATAATTGTTACTTAATTACACTCAATGTTTATTTATTACTTAAAGTATTAAGAACAAGAAGGCATATATAGATAGAATAGATATAGAACACAATATTTCAGGATTTCCAAAAGTTAGGATTTAAATTTAACTTTCTTTCAAAGTTTTCATACCATTTTTGAACCGATTGTAGAGGTACCATTGACATATTGGGCATATTTTGTCTGGGACCACATTCGACTGCATAACTAGCCACATAGTTGTATAAACTTTGTACCATTTTTTGAGTAAACTCCACAAATGTTGATAAATTATGCGTAGTATTTTCTAAACTAGTTACTTGTAACTCAGCATTTATTAATGGTTCTATAGAGATACCAATTTGAGCATTAATAGTAATTGATGGAAACTGACTGAATGCATTTAATGGTAACTTTGATGTATCAAAATGTTGTTTGAGATTTGAAAGCTTGAAAATTGCAGATGGTTTAGTATTGGATAGAACGCCTAAAAGTTGCCAATTTGGCCTCGCCTGTTCATCTGGCCAACTGAAGTACACTAAATTAACACACACAATTAAAATTTAATGAAGTTAAATCATATTTAAACTCTAAATAATAAAAAATCCTCTAAGATAATGAGGACGGGTGCAGCCACTGTTATAAGTGAAAAAATGGGGAGGTAGGATATATACGAGAATTTAATATATATATATATCTGTAAGACTTTCTGTAACCAATGATTAACTATTGCTAACAAAAAAAGGATTCTGAAAGGAGTTCAGTTAATAGTGTTGCTTTTTCAACAATATGTGTCATATTTTGATAAAATAATTATATAATAAACATTATATATTTCTTTAATAATAATTGTTGAATATTGTATCTATTTTCTTGTTCTCTTGGTTTTTCCTATTTATCGGGAAAACTTCTAAGAAAATTCAAAATGACTTCCCTAAAGTACCTTCCCAGTCCGATTTTCATTCACGAAAAGTGCTATCCTTGTTATTTATATCAAAATTGTCCAAATAAATAATAAAAAAAAACATTATTGTAAAACCATAAGCATACAATAAAGGTTGATGCTGCCAATGAGTTGATGAGTGTGCCACTATTTTAGTAGGGAAGTTAGAAGGGTTGATATATAGAATAATTTAATTTATATTTGAACACAACAAAAAATCATTTTGGAATAATTCTAGTTTAGCTCCTATGTGAATTTTTTTTTTTTTTTTTTCAAAGTGTGTGTTTTCAAATGTACATTAAGAATGTAAAAAAAAAAATTAGACGAGCTTCATTTGGCAGTTATGGGGGAAAACTTTATAAAGTTTGGGTTTTCCTTTTCGCATATTTCTTGGTTAGAATAACACATTTTTACATTTCTTTTTCTCTAAAATATGTGCTTTTTAATGCTTAATTCATTGGTATAATCACAATTTACCCATCATACTTTTATAGTTTTTGTACATAAACCTTGAAAAATAACACTTTTGGAATCAATCCAAAATGTGGTCAAAAATAGATATTTGTTTATTATTATTATTTATAGTTATTGATATTTTCATAACAAATTTTTTTTTTTTTATTGAGAATATGAGAATAAGTATACCTGGCTTAGTTTTAGAGTTAAAACTGTTCAAATGCGTGTGCTCATTCGACAAATAACCATCAATTTGTTGTGCAAAGCCAGAGTAGGTAATAGGAAAAAGTGAAAAGAATTATAGGGGGAATTAGAGATACGATGTGGTCACTCTCAAGGGGTTATTTTCGATTGAAAATGTCTGAGTGAGTACAGTGAAACACCGCATGTTTGAATGTTTGTAACTCTAAAACTAAGCTAGATAGACTTATTCTTTCATTGTTATCAATATATCAATAACTACAAATAATAATAATAATAAAAAATGTTTACTTTTGACCACATTTTGGATTAATTCCAAAAATGATATTTTTCAAGGGTTTTGTAAAAAAAAAATACAAAATTAAGTACGATAGGAATGTTTTGATTATACCAATAGATTAAGCTTTAAAAAACACACATTTTGTAAAAAAAAAAAAATTGAAAATTTTAAATTCTACATAAGAAATATGCGAAAAGGAAAACCCAAACCTAATGAAGTTTTCTTTCATAACTTTCATATAAATCACCAGGTCATGATCTAATTAGTAATGTTATTACAAAGAACATTCCCAAAAAAGTCATTGTTTTTTTATCACACACATTCAATGCCATTTTCAGACTATCGTACTTTTCAAACACTTGGAAATACTCGGTCGTTATTCTAATACCTAAGCCCAATAAACCACCACAAGATCCTGCCTCTTACAGACCCATAAGTCTTCTCCCAACCTTTTCTAAAATTTTTGAGAAAATTCTTTTAAAAAGACTTAATCATTTTGCTTCTTCAAAAAACATAATTCCATACACACAATTCGGATTCAGATCAAAACATTCTACATTGCACCAATTACACAGAACAGTCGATATCATAGCCAGCTCCCTGGAAAAAAAACAGTTTTGAACAGCAGTATTCCTTGACATCTCCCAAGCCTTTGATCGGGTTTGGCACGATGGACTAATGTACAAACTTAAAAAGTTCTTATCCGCCCCTCTTTTCTTCTTGATAAAATCATTTCTTTACTGTTCGCCTAAACAACACCTACTCAACCCGTTACACTACTAGAGCTGGAGTCCCATAAGGAAGCGACATCGCCCCATTCCTTTACTCGATTTTCACTCATGACATACCCAAGANTAACCGCCTCCCACGAAAGCCACGTCACAGCCAATGAAATGATCCAAAATCATTTAAATATGATCAGCTTGTGGGAAAACAGATGGAAAATCAAAATAAACGAAACTAAATCTGTTCAAGTAACTTTTTCACTACGTAATCTCGTTTCTCCACCTGTTACGTTAAACAATATAACAATTCCTAAGGCAAACGAAGTTAGATACCTTGGGTTAACTCTCGACAAACGCTTAACCTGGAGCCCACACATAAAACTTAAACGTAAAACTGTTAACTCTAGACTTCATATCCTTAGACCACTCTTAAAATCCAAACTTTCCCTTTCCGATAAACTTACTATATACAAATCAATAATTCGACCAGCTTGGACATATGGGATCCAGTTATGGGGCTCCGCAAAGCCATCTAACACCAACATGCTTCAAGCTTTTCAATCTATCTGCCTATGATTAATAACATCTTCTCCTTGGTATTTCACAAACAATAATCTTCACAAAGACCTACAAATTCCTACACTCAATCAATTAGCAAAAGCACATTACTCTAAATTTCACTCCAACTTAAACTCTCACAGTAACCTATTAATAAAGCAACTTTCTTCCACCTCACTTCCTGGCAACATAAGCAGAAGACTCAAAAGACAGTGGCCTAGAGACCTACTAAAAAAAAAAAATCACGACATCTAAAATGTTCACGGTTGGGTGGTGCTGCTGAGTGCCTGCCCACAAATGCTAAATTCTGTTACTTTATGTTACATCAACTATCAAATTTGCTCATTGTACATAATGTTGTATAGATTGTAAATAAAATTGCTTTAAAAAATAAAACTTTCATATGAAGTTTGTCAGAATTTTTTTTTGTTCATTTTTAATGTACATGCAAAATCACACATTTTGAAAAAAAAAAACCAAAATATCACGTGGGACCTAAACTAGAATTTTACTATCATTTCTTATGAAAAACAATTTTGAGCATAGTATTATTAGTCATATTTTTTTGGTCACTATTTAACAAATATTAACCTAACCTATCTAAGAACACAAACACTCAAAGGCAAATTATAGATTGTTATATATTAATTATGTTAAGTGCGGTGCAATATATTATTATTTGTACCAGAACCGGCTGTTCCTTCGGGAAATGGTACAAGACCGGTGAGAAACACACAAATGTAATTTACAGATTCAGCCGAGTTGATGGTGATCAAAAACTTTGTTTCTTCTAAAAGTTCAAAATCTGTTCGTACCTAAAAAAAAATGGATTATTAGCATTATGATAGGACATACCTACTGACCAACACTTGTATTTTTGTTTTAAAAACTTAAATATATTGACATTTGCAAGTATATTATTAAGTTGTAGAATAAATATATGGGCAGTAAAATTATTAATTATGTAAATAATGTGTATTTTTGTGAATAAAATAATTTCAAAATTTCAGGAGTAGGTAATTAATGCAAGGACGCAAACGAAACTTATCATCAATACTCAGACAACGTTTACAAGCCACTGGGACTATCGCTTAGTTTTGATGTACGGTATCATCAGTTTTCTATAGTCGTGGAGCGGAGTGCTCATAGTAAAATAAAATCGGGTTGTCTGAAAGAGGTAAGGCAGGTGGTATTTCTTTTATAGGTTTTTACCGAAAGAAAAATACACTCACCAGTCTTCCGCTGACCAATAGACCAAACATCGAAGGCACAGGTTCCATTATTGCGGGAAACGTCTTACGAGAAGCTGAATTGCACTCAATTGTACTGTTCAAGTAGAATTACGTGTGAAATGAGCGAATTTGAAGACGACGACAGCGTAACAAATGTATCAGTTCAGACTTTACAGACTGTTCGAATGTCATATCTATGGAAAATTCGTGAAACCGACGAAAGCTAACCCCGCGAACCGCATTTATACGACCATAAACGTGATAATAGCTAGACGGACGCTCAGTTTTGTACCTCGTGCATGGTGATAACACAAAGCCCGCGATAACATAGTAATCTTTATCACAAATATTGCCGGTAGTACTCGGAGCTTATAGATAATATTAATCACGGCTTTAGATACTAGTCGACAATATTTAAAGCCGTGATTTTAATTAACATTTATTCCACACAAAACCGCAAGCACCAAGGTAATCATAATGGTAACACCGTGAATCTATTTAGTTACTTTCGTTATAAACTTATATTTCATTTTTAATGATATCATGAATTAGCAAGAAAAGCTCGTGACATTTTTAAAATTAGAAAGAACTGAACAAAAACAATATTTTAGAAATTAATAAAAACTTTTATATTATTAAAATTAAAAAACAAATATTGTTTATTATAACGTTTTTTCATTTTGATAAAAAATCGATAGCACTGAAATGGTTGTAACCAAAAATGCGGGAACTGGCAAGCGGGTAGGTTAGTCTGACGATTCTGATAAACGATAATGAACGCATTTTAGCTCGGATATCTTATTTCATGGTACACAGATATCTTTATTATAATATAGATAAGATAGTATAATCTAAGACTATGATATATACTTAGCCTGCTGTCCCACGAGTGAGGATGTAGTGTGATAACGAAAAATAATCGACTCTGTGAATTTATACTAGTTTAATCTAGACTTTGTGAATCATGGCTATCGCGATTTTATTACAATATCTATGGTTAACGTATGTTAATTAAGTCAAAATTATTAAACTGTGATACTAGGTACTATCTGGTTTAAACTTTGAAAAGGATTTTAACACCCATGTAGTTGTTAGTATAATGATTTATTAATTTTTTTTTAAATTGTATATTATTTTTGATGCTGCTTGATGCAGTGTTTCATACCACTAATAGATGAAGTCAAAAGCTCTTGATGTAAACTTTAACGAGACGACTATCTCAATATTCTGTTGTTAATTATTAGTAGTTTTTCGTTCTGTGAAATCAATATTTAATTAATTTTTTTTTTAAAACTGATGTCATATATTGGAATTGAAAATTATAAATTTAATTGTTTTGCAACAAAAGCATTTTGATAATTTGAATACCAATAAGGCATTTTTTTAAGATGTATAAAAACACAAATTCCAACACTGCAAGACTAAGCTTTTTAGATTTTCTAATAATTAAACGGTAAGCAATATTTACTATTACTTGAATACCATTTTCTAAACATAATGTTTGGATGTTAATAATGTGTGAAATATTATATGTTTAGAATAAACGATTGTATGACAAATTAGAATCATTGTTTAAATAACTAAGTATCCATGACACAAACCATGATAATGTGTATTGCTGCAAATGATCCTATTCAGTTATTTGGCCATTTTAGCTGTGGCCATCATAGATAATTTTTGGTGGCTAGAAACGTTTATTTTCATAGCCATATAGGTATTTTTAAATTATTCAAAAATTATTGCTTGCTATTCTGCTACATTTCTAATTGCTGATTTATTTTGTATATTAAATTAATAAATATTTTGATGTATGCATTATTATTTAGATGATGTAGGTATATCATTAAATACTTATCAATTTGTTGACACAATTGATTAACCAGAAACATTAAATGAGGATAAAATTTTACCGTCAACATCTTTAACTTCAGTATCGCCATAATTAAACATCAGACACAATTAAAATAAAGGATAGAAAAAAAATTGAACCAAATGAACAGTATAAGGAACACAACAAAATAAAGGTAATAATAGTTTTAATAACTGTAATAAGGCATATAATAAGAAAAAGTTTGACTTTAATAAGTGTGGTCGAAACCATGGAATTAATAATTGCTTTAGGATTATTTAGAAAAAGTAGAAAGTGCTGAAGTTATGAACTGAAATCATTTAGAAGTTAAGTATCAATATAATGATAAAAATTATTAATAGTATATACTTAGTGTTGACATAGATAATTATTACTCATTTGATATTGTAAAAATTGTTAAGATTAAGAGTGAAAATAATAGTTAGAATACAAAATTTCAATTGAGAATATAGAGATTGAAGTTAAATTAGGTACATATAAAAATTTTTGTCAATGAAATTTGTTAAAACAGTAAAAATAAAAACTGAATAAAGTGGTTTTATAACCATTTAGAGGCTTTAAAATAAATTTGTTTGGAAAAGTTAAGTCAAGATAATAAATTTACACCAGGTTTGAAATTATTAAATATAAATGAATAACATTTATGTCAACATTCTGGGAGGGGTTGTAATTGTTAAGCTTTGAATATTTTCCCTGTGTAGTTGTGTACTCTAAATCAGTATTTCTTTTTGGTTTCGATCCTTTTTATTCTGACTGGCGTTGCTGTTCTTATTAAGTCTTTCTTCTCTTTTTATTCTGGTTAAAAATATTCAAGTTTACATAATTACTTTCTTCTAATGAAGGTTCAAGTGTATCATTGATGATGATAATTGTTTCATCAATAATAATAATATTATAAATTGTAAATTGAAACTTAACTTTTGTAATACACGAAAAAAGATTCTTAGTTATTTCATTCACTACTTTCTATGATAATAGTAAATAAATATAATTTTATAATGATACACTTATCTATTCTGGTTGGAAGCAATGGTATTCTTGTAATAGGTAGCAATGTTGAAGAAGCACGAGAAAGGGCTCTGTGGATGGTTGGCCCGGAGAATATATAAGGATAAAAAGAAGAGTATTAAGTTAGGTTAGCTTCTATACTGGCATTCTTTGTAAGTCTGATTAATCGCAGGGTGGGGTGTGCAACTTCTGAGGTTTTATTTAGGGCAGTAGTAGAGATCACATTGTATTTATTCAAGTTTTCTTTGTGCATTATGCAATCCTTGTGCATAATGCGTGATGTTAGAAAAAATGCCAGCTATTAGTTTGACACTCCAGCCAAATGTTTTGTATAAGATGGAAATATTGAGTATGGTGATAATTGTCATTAAAGAGATTTTACTTATGACAAATATTCCTAAAATATCAGCTGCTATATTAGCGATTCTAATGAACCATTCCCACATTTTATGCAACTCTGAGTGAACCATATTGCTGATTATTCATTTATTATGTTTCTGATGTCAAAACCTTGATTTATAACTTCATGATCTGTTGTTTGTCTTATTAGTTTTTTTTCAGCTGTCTCTGTCTCTTGTGGGTACATAAGATGTTTTGCAGTGCGTTGATTATGCCTAGAATATATTTTCCAGTTGTTATAAAATTATTTGTACTTTCATGAGACCAAGATAATATAGTAGCTGGTTTTAATTACTGAGAAGGATCTATTTTATGTGATTTTGGAGCATTGATTCCATTGGACTCTAGTCCATCTTTTTGTGTCCCTTGTGAAGGCTACTGGTATATACTCATTGAAGTCAATTGAAGGCACCAGTGCAGTAACCAGATACATTCACTTTTTAAAATTGTTTAGGAATCACAAAAAACTATAAAATTGGGAAATGAACCAAAAATTAAAAATGTTATGTTATTATTTTTGTAAGAATTAGATACATCAGTTAAACCTATTTCCAATGTCCTATGTCCAATTTTGTTCTTGGACATAACTGGTTATTGCAACCAACTAATTAACAAATATTTTATATTAGTGAATAAGTCCTCTACTATTAGAGTGGGCCTGGGGCCCACACAAGATTCAATCAATAAGAGGCGCCAACACCTAAAAAATTAAATAGTTAACTAGAGATTATGTTATAAGAATAATATAGACCACCTATTAGGTTTTCAAATACACTGTCCCATGCACTTACAAAATAGGAGTACACAATATATTTTATTAATCTAATCTATTATTAGTAATAGTACTAAAAGTTACATGGCAACTAGAAAATAAAGAATATTGAAAAAATATTTGTAGTTATATAATATTGTCACTTGGTCACTATAATGCAACCAAAACTTTTAACAATAGAATAATAATATTATAATACACAAGAAAATTTAAAAAAAAATTGTATTAAATAAAAAGTATAACGTTTAACAATATGTAGACTATTTGTCAAGTTAAAAATAATTATAAGAATGATTATTTAATAAATATTGAATAATATTTTATTATTAGGTATAATATGTATAGCTGTTAATAATTTTAAGAATCACCTAGTCAGTCTTAAAAATGTATAATATTAGAAATCATATAGTTACTGTAAAACTTTATAAACAATAAACACAACAAAATTTAAAAAAAAAAGAATTTTAATTAATAAAAAATGTAAAAATTAACAATATCTAGAGTACTAAGTCAAGTATAAAATTATAATGAATGATCATAATAAGCATTAAATAATATTTTTTTACTATTTATTGTATTAAGAATCACTTGGATAGTCCTAAAAGTGTTACAATATTAGAAATCACAGTTACCCTAAAACTAAAACTTAGTTATAAGTTTGTATTATTATTAAGAACAATAAACATAACAAAATTAAAAAAAAAAAACAATATTATATAATAAACATATTATTATTATTATAACATAACATAATATAATTATAACATAATATTATTATTATATAATAAACAAATTAATAGATTAATTCACAACTTTTTAAATTTAAAAATTATCATGAATGATCATAATAAAAGGAAAATATTAAATAATATAGCTAATACTTTATCAGTTTAAAAATATCTTATAATAGCATAATATTGCATACATTTTTTTAATTTTTATCAAATATGTTAATTTAGTTTTCATCTTCATCAACATTTTCAGATGCTACTAATGAAGAATAAAAACTAAGACAGTCAGGTGGTACTTATTTTGAGACTATATCTTGAACATCTTTCAGTTTGGCTGGTTTTAAAGGCAATATTTTGTTATAGAGTTTGAAGGTTGGATCTGATAAATCAAGTGTAACTGAAGGTTTTTGTAAAATTATATGGTTCCCTGTTAAATCAGTATTTGCTACTGTACTGACTAATAGTCTTCCTAAAGAATAAATCTATACATCATTAAGGCCAATTTACTTTGTGCTTTGAATTTTTGTTTTAAATGATTAGAGTAGTTTAAAATAATATCCTGAGTAACATTTATCACACAAAATTGTCTACATGTTTTAGAAACAATATTTTGATATGTAACAGGTAAAAAGACTCCTGAAGCTTCTTTTGTTTTTCAAGGAGACCAAAGTTTCTATCACATAGTAGGAAACTGTGTCCAGGTTCTGAATAAGGATGAATAATTTTTGATATACCGTATTTCTTTGTTTTTGCCACAGTATATAAATATTGAACTAAGAAATGGTTCTTGTTCTGTGTACTGCAATTGTCGGAAAATATATAAGTGTATCAACTCCTTGACCTAAATAATTGTCAAAAAAGTGGTTTATGAAACTTATAACTTCATTTTTTCCTTTTTTAGCCACTATTTTACATCATACATGTAAAAATAAGATTTACTACTTCTACCAGAAAAATACAAAAATTATAGACCTAATGCTGGCGTTTATAAAACACATCACCAGCTGGGATATATGGTAGTGGCATATTCTGTTGATAATCAGATGGTTGCTTTTAAAATACAAATTATTATATTTTTATAATTGAATAAATTCACCAATGTGAGTAAATGAGTACATACAAATTTTTCACAGTATTTTTTTAAAAAGTATGTGACAATTTTATTAGAAAAACATAATTTATAAACTCAACTACTTTATTTTATCACAGTTTTAGAGTAAGTTATATTGTATTAATTATTAATTTCAATATCAAAATCCAATATTTCATTATAGCCACCAATATCTTCCTCAATGGGAGTATTTTCAATAAAATGTCTACAAAATTCATGAGCATTTGTTGGAATAAGATGCATTATTGATTTTATATCATACAATTTTAGTTTATTTATTTATTTATTTACCAGTAGGCCATAGTTGAGTTAGCAAAGATTCATATAGAAATACAGTATTTTAATGTCGCCCATGAAAACCTTCTTCCAAATAAATTTCTTCAAAGTTTTTTAATCTTTTAAGTTATTATTCATAAATAAACAAAATTGATAACTACAGTATAATTTAATTTGTTGAGTTTGTGGCCAATTTATTTTGTTTTCAGAAACTGATTGATACCTTACAGTTTATTTTTTTTTTCTAAATTTTCTGAACTCACAAAGTCTTCATTATTTATTTGAGTCACTATTAATGGTTTTTTCATTTTACTTTATTGTTTTCATAACATTAATATAATCTTGAGTAGTATAAAACTGATATGGATGTTTTAGAGCTGAATCAATATTGCTGAAGTTTAAGTTGTTAGGTAAAAAACTGTGGTCAGGTAATATGTATTTAAGTGTTAGAGTATCTAGTCCTGTGTCATTAAAAATGGTTTTCAATATTATAACAATTTTTATACTTTTGTTTTGCCCACCTCATCAATCAGACCGCAAAACTAATTCTTTAATGTTTTGGTTCAAATTATTTTGTGTATTATATTATTTTTTCAATCATGATGCAACTTCTTGTGCTCCTCTTCCTGACTGACCTTCCAAACAAATATAACAATACCCTTAGTGTTCCTTTTCACTATAGATTTCTGTATTGTATAACCAAAATTGTCTCTTGGAAAAAATTATGTTAGTGGATAACCTAAAAAGCGGTAAAGTTTTTTCATATCATATGTAAAGCATTGAAAATGCTCACATTATTTTGACTTTTCTAAATCCACTTTTAATAACGCTTGTGCACTTTCAGCCAACCTTAAATGTTCAGTATGTTTTAGTGTAAATTCTTGTTTTATTATTGTATTAGTTTCAATATTTATTTGTACTTTTAGGGAATCATATGTATTGCAAGTATCTTTTTTAAGAGATTTAAATTTAAAATTTAAACTATCATAAAAAATCCATTTATAAGATGAAATAACTGACTGATTCTGTTATATTGTTTTCTTTGTAAGTTGCACATATTTTTTCTAGAGTCATTTCTAGAGATAAATAATGAAATTTAGTTTGTTCTCTACAATAAGATGTATATTTAGGAATTTTGCAGGGGCGGCTTAAATTTTTTACCTAGGGGTGTGGTAATATTTTTTGGTATGTAAATATTTAAACTATAATAAAATTAGTCATCAAGTGTTTATGTAATATAGCAAGAATAATTTATTTAAGTTATTATTTAGAGTAAACATTTTTCAGTTTATTTATATAATATAATATTAACGAAATAAAAAATAAATATAACATTGAACATTGATCATGCTTTTTTGGAAGTTCAAATCCTGAAATAAAATAATTAAGAATTGAAATATTACGTTTGTAGTGTAGAATATCATACGATTTATATTATTCATTTAAATTATCTTAATTGTTGTTACTTGTAATATAAAATTTAAATTTTTATTTTTCATACTGACAAATCGATTAATTACATTTTCTATGGAAAAATCAAAATCACATGTAATAACACTAGCCCAACATGTTTTTTTTGTCCCATTTGAGAATGTACCCATGCTTTTGATGTAATGTGCATGAATAAAAATAGCAAGTTAAGATAAGCATAGTTTAGATAAAATTAGTCAGCAAGTATAAAATATAAATTAATTGTGTATTTATATTTTATTAATAATGCATACATTTTTTATCTAATGTACATGAATTTCTATTAAAGTATGGAATTTAGTAAACAAAATTATTAAAGTAAAATTATACTTTAATTATAAGCTTATATCACTATCCATATGAATATTAGAAAAGCTGTGTCCAGACTATTTGACAGGGTAAATAATGACATCACAAACTCACAATTACAAATTGCATTTAAAAATATTTTGAATTTTGTTGAAGAAACATGATCATTCCATTCTGAGATTGCAACTAGAGATTCAACAATTTCTGGGAAACAAATTTGAAATTAAATTACACTATCATGGCATTCAGTACATTTAGTTTCACAAATACTTGTTAAACTCCACTTTTGTCCTTTTAGAGTATTTTTTAAAATAAAACCCCTTTTTGGTGACTATTAAAAAAAGGTATATCTTGCTACTATTATTCCTACACTATTTCTTATTAATTGTACATTTGATGATTTTGATATAGATTTTTTTTTTTATTTTTTATCATCATAAATTAACAATATAGATTGAGAGAATGATTAGAACATGGACTATGAACAACATAATGTGTAGAGTTTTTAATTTGTTGAATTGCACTTCGTATGGTTAATGTCATCACAGAACAACCATCTGTGCCAATTCTTACACAGTAATCCAGTTCTAAAGACATTTCTTTTAGTATAGATACAACAGTATTCCCTAATATTTCACCAGATAATTTTGGTTCTAGTTTTTTACTAGGTTTAATATTATGTTCTTCATCAATGCTATTAACTGTTTCATCATACTTGCTTTGTGTACATATTCATGGCAATCAAGATGATAAATTTTTCATGAACTTTATTATTGGTATCAATGTATCTAAGTGTGAGACTCATTTGTGATATATTACGCATGTTATTTGTTTCATCAAAAATGATACTATAGTGTTAACTTTTTTTTTACATCTTCCAAAATATGAAAAATTATTTAATTTTGACAACAAATAATAATATCATTTTTAATAGAATGTGATATATAATTATTTTTTGAATGAGTAGTATTTAGATGATTTTTGTAATACATGATCATTAAAAGCTATTCTAAATTTTAATACCTCACAAAAATTACCTTCATTAATGTTATATAAATTATACATAATTAAATCAATGAAAATATTTGAGAAAATAAAGAGTAAGATGCCTCGTCTTGGGGGGGGGGAATGGCCTCTATGGCACCCTTCATAAAAGTTACCCCTGAAATTTTGTTTATATGATCTTTGATGATTTTGAAGTTTTTCATCAGAAATTTTTTTAAAGCTTCTATTTTCAATCCTTTTTAATCAAGTATAGGTTTCCCGCCATGCACTTTTTTTAAAGCAGTTTAAAACACTTTACACATTGATATATTTAATGTTCCACAAAATATTTTTCGACATACATGTATATTATCCAAGTTATATTTCCTGGAGAATTGTTTTTTTATAAGATACTTTTTGGTATCAACATATCTTCTTTTAATAGGTAACTTATAAACTAATGCAGTAATATAAGCATTTTTAACAGTATGTACACCTATTTTCCAAAACAATTTTAATTCTACTTCTCTTTGTTGTAAAGAAACCTTTTAGGAATATTTAATTGAGCATCCTACATTCTTAAATTCTTTTAGTTCAATTTTTTTCTTGTCTCTGTAAGAATTCTGTTCATTGTACTGAAAGATCTTTCAACCGAAGCAGTGGTAATAGGAATGACAAGATGTATTTCACAAAGCTGTTGTAACTAAGTATATCCCACATGAGCTAACATGATTTTAATCATTGAACTTTCATGTACCTTGTATATTCCACTATTAAGCATAGATTTGATAAAAAAATTAAATGACTTCATGTTCGTCATTATAGCTTCTGCATCAAGCATTGGAAAATAACCACATTTTTTTCAATTCAGTGTCTTGTATATTAATGAAAGACTGGAAGCTCTGAAAGTGACTAGGAAATGTCATTACATCAATAGATTTGTCATTGAATCTGTTTTCAATTTTTTTAATTAAACTTTCACAATACTCCTTCATTTTTTTTAATGTTGTTTTTGTGCCTTCATCAGCAGTCAAATGAATATGTGATCCTAAGTTATTGAGTATTTCATTTTGAATTTTTATATGCGAGTTACTATTGGTGTCTATACACTGATTTGCAGTGTCACTTAAATTTTGTTGTTGTTTTAAGAGGAATAACATTAGCCAGATTGAGATATTTTTTTTTGCAAAGTATTGCTTAGATATGAGAGGGCACTGAGGAGTCCATTCATTACATAACAGGTGACAAAGAAGCTTGTTTTTCTTATTCCCAACAAAATATCATCTGTTAGTGATGCAAGATCTATGTCGTTCTTGTAGATATGCTTGCAAGCCATCATAATTGATTTTAAACTTCTAAAGACAGCATTCACTATCTTATAGTGAGATAGCCACCTCACTTTAATGTTTTCAGGTATCTTAAGAATAGGATCGTTGTGTTAACATAATTTTACTATGTGTTACATTTACATTACAATATGACAATTATTATGAATTTATATTCACTTCACAATATTAAAGTGAAACAAAATAGGTCAGGAATAGTTTAAAATTTTCAAACTATAAAATATTTATTAACTTTTTTAATCATACTTACATAGTGAGTCCAGGAAAAAAACCTCCCGTATTTCAAAAAGTGGTTGCAAATAAACAAACAAAGAACAGAAAAAAATATTTTATTTTTGAATTACAAATACTATGCCATTTTACGTTATATAAAATAATTACTTAGTTTTGAACATAACGTCTGTTAAATATCGTCCTTCATTGTTGATACATTGACTAAGCCTTTCCCGGAAGTTTTCCATAACTATTTTTGTTATTGCCGGTGTAATAGCAGCCACCGACTGTGTGATTGCCTCCTTAAGTATTTGCAGTGATGTGGGATGATGTCTGTAAACTTGCGCCTTTAAATCTTTCCACAGAAAATAATCACAAGGTGATAGATCGGGTGACCTCGGGAGCCAGGTGATGTCTCCTCGCAAAGAGAGAAAACGTCCAGGAAACAACTCCCTCAAAATGTCTAGTGAACGCAGTGAAGTGTGAGCTGTGGCTCCGTCTTGTTGAAACCAGACTTCTTCCTCTACATAGTTCATTGCAACCTGGTTTAGGTTAGGTCGGAGACAAGTTTCGATCATGTGATAGTAGCGATCCGAATTAACCGTTACTTTTAGTCCATATTTTTCAAAAAAATATGGACCTAACACACCAAAATCAGTAACTGCACACCAAACTGTCACATATGAGCTGTGAAGTGGCCGTTGATGAAGTTCCTGAGGGTTTTCTACTGCCTAGTAGTGGAAATTTTGTTTATTTACAGTACCAGACAAGTGGAAGTGGGCGTAAGAACTCGTAAGAACTTTATCATTGAGGATATTGAGATAGTCATTGGCAGTAATCTGGCCACTCATTTGAATGATTGGACCAACTGAATACCACGATATGGCTGCCCGTATCATAACAGAACCATCTATATGCTTGACTGTAGGAAGCAGGCAGTCCGGATTGTACGTTTCTTTTGGAGTTCTCCATACATAAACCCGACCATTTGTAGGGAAAAATGTAGAAGATGATTCATCGGACCATATGACATTCTTCCAATCATCAAGAGTCCAGTGTTTATAATCGCGGCACCATTTATTTCGCAACTTGGAGTTATTTTCTGTAATAAAGGGTTTTGCAATTGCAGCCCTTCCATAAATATTACCTTTGTGGAGCTCCCGTCGTACAGTTTTTGTCGAAACAGTATTACTTAAGTGAGCGTTAAGTTCTGTTGTAACTTTAGCCGCGGTAGTTTTATGTTGTCTTGTCACTATCCGTTTTAATGTTCGTCGGTCCTTGTCAGTCAACTTTGGATTTCGCCTACTATTATTTTTTGCCGATGATGTTTTTCCCTATTTTGTGTATGCTGTCATTACTGTGGATACTGTTCCTCTTGACGCGTTCAACAGTTTAGATGTTTCCGTAACAGACGCTCCCGCAAATCGAGTACCCACGATTTCCCCTCTTTGGAAGTCCGAGAGGTCACACATTTTGTTTGGAATTTATTCTAATGTTCGTAGTATAACCTGTGTAATACACTAATATATAATAAATAACAGCTATATTGCGATAATATACTAATATTACACCATATTATCAAAAATAATACAATGTAGCCAACATGCAACAATATGTAACTATATTACATGGTGTTCATATTATTTTGTCTACCCTCTGTAAGAACAAAATATTTTATAAAAAATTCAATTTCTTCAATATTTGTATTACATAGTGCTTTTTTGAATTTAATGCAATTAATAGATCTACTAGTTAAAATATCACCTTTAATTAAACAACTTAATAAATATAATTGTAGCACCTGCATTATTAAACTGATGAAGTTTAAGAGTATGTTTACAAAATTTAAGTGCGTTTGCACTGATTGACTTAATTGTTGAGTTGTAAGCTTAACCTTCATTTTCTGTTTTAAAAATAGTATATGGCTTTTTCTTAATTTGTTAGCTATACTCCACGCACAATAAGAGTATAACCAGTCGCGCATGCAAAACAACTTCCTCCACTGCACCGCCCGCCATAGTGGCAGTTGCTGGTTTTGCATACGGAACGCTTCACGCGATAACAGAATCGTGCAAATGTTTATCAAACAATAGTTCTCATTCCACCACACTGTATAGTGAAAATATTTTATGACAGCCGTGGCGTTGCAAAACACGTCGCGTAAACAATACAACTCACTCACCCTATAATACTTCGATGTATAATTATTAGTGGTCCCTATTACACGTGTAGTTCGTGTAGTTTTGATATACGTGTATTATACGTGTGCAAATATCATACTTGCGTTTGTGTTATTTAGGTACACATGTAAATATGTTATAAATAAAGGTTTATACATTTTTATAAGAATACAAGTAAAAATAGAAAATTACAGGTAAAAAGACCTTTTTCGGCGGAGTCGATGTACGAAATAATGTCTTATAAAGTTATAAATAATATTTTTACCAACAGGTAAAACAGGTACATTATATACTATATATACTCGTATATTATATTCTATTATTATTAACTACACGCTTATCGAGATTTCGATAAGATAAAGTTAAATCGTTACACGTGCCGCGTTTAAATGAAATTAAATTGTATTGCTTGTTGTTCGTTTGAACGATCCACGGATCGTATTTGTTATATTGTACATTGGTAAAATACTAAAATGTCAAAGCGTGGAAAAAATTGGGTTTGGCAGTATGCTAAACGCGTTGAAAATAAAGCGTACTGCAATTTATGCGGTGAAGATGATAACAACGATTTTTCTTGTCCCGGAGGTTTCACTGGCTTATTGAGAAGACATTTATCTATTATTCACGGCTTAATAGTTAATGCTGTGATTATTAAAGAACAGTAAGTATAGACATAATTTAATATAATTGGTTTAAAGCAGATTACACATAACTTTGGTAGTAACGTTTTGATTTTTTATACACAAATCTTTTCTGTTTTTAATAATTGTGTCCCTACTTACGAAAAAAAAGGTTATTTAAATTTAATACATTTCGCTTCACTTAGAATCTAAAATACAAAAAATCAGTGCAAAACTTCTCTTAGTAGAAAATAAAAATATAATATATAATAAATAAATAAAATAAATTATAAACAGAACATTTTTAAATATTTATTATTAGACCAAGTACACACGATGAACAGCAACTGGAAAACGACAGTGACGAAGTTATGGATATTGATGAGACAAATAAAGAAACAAACCTTGAAAAAAATAGAAGTTCAAGAAAGAGAAAGAGACGAGCAAATATACATTATCAAAATACAAACAATGGCAATAATGCACGCTCTTGTTCGAGAGACAGGTGTGAAATAATTAACATTCGCTTTAGCGAAAATGATAGCTGTAAATCAGTTGCCATTGTCATTTTGCTCAAGTAATGGTTTTCATGATTTCATGTCTGTAGTAGAACCAAACTACAAACAATGCAAAGAAGAAGCGATTAAAAATATTATCTTCAAATATTGAAGAACTTATATTAAAAACGACTTGCAAGATGCTTCTAGTATATGTTGCACAACCGACTGTTGAACCTCGATTTCACAGGAATCTTATATTACAGTGGCTTATTACGTAATTGATTCTAAGTGGTGTGTTAAATCATTTACATTGACTACACATGAAATGGATAAGCGTTATACTGCAGAAAATTTATTAGAACAACTTATAAATACTTTTGGCAAATGGGATATTAGTAACAAAATATTAGCAATAGTAACCGATAATGCAAAAAAACGTAACTAATGCCATTCTTTTAATATGTCCCGAAATGTATAGTGTAAAATGTGCAGCACATAGTTTACAACTTTCTGTTGTAAAGAAAATGAAAAACGCTATATCATTATACATATATACAGAGGTGGTGGCTAAAAGTCGTGCAACAAATTTGCAACACAATTTGTAATAGTAAAAAAATCGTTTATTTCTTCAAATAAAAAAAAAATGATATAAAAATGAACATTACAAAGTAACATCATCTCACGGAAATTATAATAAATGTTCAAAATGATGTCCTCCAGCTTCAATAACTGCGCCACAACGTTTTTTTTACCGTGTTTTTGGCGTTGTAAAGATACGAATAATCGTTGCTCAAAATTTGGAATTCTTCCTAGATTCGCTTTTTTAAATGGATCAAATTTTGGATTGGGGTCTTGTAAACAAATCGTCTTCGTCATCGGACGAGTCAGTTGATTCACCAATTGTTAAAATATGACTCTGGTTGGGTTGGAGTTCATCTATAAGCTCATCACAAAGAAAGTCGACATCCCAAAACTTTTGTTCCTCGTCCTTCACGTGTCTTATGAAAAACTGCCAATTTTCTGGTTTTATCATGTCAAGGGCTTGGTGAAGCAGATGTTTGACGTCAGTAGTCTTATATGTTGTGTTGTTTGATTTTACGTAAGATTTCACCATTTCAATCGCATTTAATTCGCAATGATAGGGGGAGCAGTCTCAAAACCATCTTTCCGGCATCTTTGGCCATTTCGTCAATTATGTATGCATTGTATCTACAAAAAAAAAATGTTAATAGTGTATAATATGAATAGTTTATATTTTAATCATTACTTTGGTTTTAAACGTTGGACGATTTCTAGGAGATCATTTTAAATCAATTGTGTAGAATCGATTTATTCACCTTTGGAAACCAGCCATCCCACTATGTCTGCCTTTTTCCAACTTATTGTTGGAATTTTTTCTTTTTTGACAGAGTGATATGGTGCTTTATCCAACACAATCACGGCATTATCTTCTACAAGAGGCAATATTTTCTTGAACCATTCTTGAAATGTTTGACCATTCATTTCGTCATGGTAATCTGATGCGTTTTTTTGGATTCAAACACAACAGACCACCTGGCATGAAACCAGCTGCAGACCTAATGTGTAATACTATTAACCTTGTACCTTTGCCAGTTGGGTTCTGGGGGCTAGTAGATAGACCTTCCAGGAATGCCATTCTACTCGACGTAACGGTTGTGATAATCTAAACCTTATTCACACAATCGCCGGTATTAAGCCAAGTTTCATCTAGGTAATAAATGGGTCTACCTTCTTCTCGAAAACGAATTGAAATTAAATATTGTCTTCTCCAACTTACAAGATCTCTTCTATCTGTTAATATACTATTTCTTTGGTTTTTTGTTAATTTAAAATTTAAGCTCTTCAGAACTTTCCTTAAAAAGGTTTCCTTCAAATTTGGCAATGTATTGTCTTCGTTAATACTAGTTAATACCTTCACAACGGTCAGCAGTTCTTTATTTAGCCAAAATGAATGCACCCACCTTTCTACAGATAGCCTTATCAAAATCTTCAATCTTATCCTTATCTTAAAAATATAAGAAATACTTATGGTCAATACTTTAATAACGAAAGAAAAATATCACAGCAAGACAAATTTAGTGTATGAATAATTGATGTGTTTTGATAAAAAATGATAAAAATAATAATAATATAATAATAATACTTACATCAAATGTACTATGATTGATTCAATATTTTCAATATCACTATCCATTTTACTTATTAACTCACTCGGTGTTTCTTGGTTTTGTAAAAATAACATTAATTTTAATACCATAAACATGGTTCATAGGCATGTGTCTTCAGATACAGCACCAAATTTTTTTCATCTTAGAACCTAGTAAATCAAATGTAACAATATGAAATAAGTAGGTACTTTATATATATTTATATATGTTTATAAAGTTTTTCTGACATTATATCATCTAAACTTAGGTATATAGATTTGAATTTTGAACATTTGTATATCAGATATCATTATAAATAGGTACAATAATAATATATAATAATATAGTTATATATATAATTAATATTTTTACTTTTTACTTCTTTACGAAAATTTGTTCTTAATGCACTTTTTTTTTTCTCAACATCTTCTTTAGTGGCTTCTGGATATTTTTCTTCATATTTCTTAGTAACGTTTCATAAGCATAATTTTGTTTGTTTCGATTGGAATAATAATTAGATTTCACTTTCCAAAGTGCTGGTACATCTTGATACAACTGATATACATTTAATTATAAATGAACGTTCTTCTGTTTTGGTTGACGTAATTATTATGCTTGTATATAGAAAAATGATATATTGTATCAATAGAATGAAAAATATAAACTTGTATCACAATTCAATAATAGCGACACGACACAACAATTGTTGTTTCATAACCGATATGATACTAAACATTGGGTAATTTTGCACATTATCATATTCACATGTTTAATAATATTGTGTATTGTGCAATAAATTTCCAACCCAGTTTGATTTTTTCAATATATTGTACAATCTTTCAATATCTATTCTAAACTGTCAATAATATTGCGCAATATCAATTATTGTGCAATATATTGATCGTGTAGGGTCCGCATAAAAGTGAAATACTAGTCTCTTCATCAATACGATTTTGATTTATGACGTAATTATATTAATATGTTCTATCGGGTAGAGGGTCACTTCCCACCGGTTTGTACGTTTTATTAGATGCCGTGATATACACAAACTTTGAAGGCTTTACCTATGACACTAAAATGCGATTTTATTGCATCAATCTGATCATTGTGTTGATTTTGGGAGATGTGTGCTCCAATCAAAAATATACAATGAGCCAACAATGCTTAAAAAATGTTGACAACAGATTTTTCTCTCAATACATTGTATTATACAATTCAAACTGGTTTATTCCCAAAGATTTAATAGTATTGAAACCCGAGTTGTATCTTTTTTTGAATAAGATTCAGTTTTGTCAAAATAAATTTAAATTTCTTGTCCACAGACTGAAATTTTCAAACAATTTTCAGTCATCTTCAACGGATCTGGTTTATTGAAATCTAGCATCAGATTTTATATCTGCTTGAATCTTAAAAATTATTATTTAAATTTATACTATACGAAATTTATAATTTGAATGTGTTATTTTATATATGTAACTAGACACACACACAAAACTATATTTAAGTCGGTGCGTACAACTGTATACTTATACTATATACTTAACAAATAATAAATACATTATACATTAAATTAATATTTTTCGGTTTTTTATTATTATCTTGCTTTGCATTCTTGTGTGGGCGTTTGTTATTGATTTTTATATCATTTACCCTCTGATTTTTCCTTTTTCTATTTTGTATTATTGTTTAACTGAAAGTTTGCAGGTAGTATGACTTGGATTAAGGCCTAATTTATTGAATGGTGAGTTGAATTTATATTCATCTGTCATTTTTTCCCCCCTTTTACTTTTATTACTCTATAATGGTTTAATATTTAATTTTATAATATTTGTTGGTCTTCTAAAGATTCAGGTTGCTCAAGCATTTTTATGAAGTTGTCATAATCATTTAACTCTCATGATCCGTTTTCTATCTTTTTCCTTTGAAGTTTTAATACGAAATATGTTTAATATTTTAACCTAGAGGGAATTATTTCTGCGTACTTAATAAGTATTAGACATGTTTGTATTAAGACATATTAATCGTATTATTGACAGAGCTTTTATTTAAATAGGAAATAGAGTTGAATATGCTTGAATAAAGTCTGTTTGAGTTAAAATTAAATAGTTGAATCAAACTACAGTGGTAAGAGTTGAGGTCACAATTAAATGTGTTGTATTAAAAATAATTATTTAAAACTGCAAGGAAAAAAATTGCATCCAATATAAGATAACCAAGCAAGATATGATAAGAGGTTCAAAGAATTTATATTTATTTGAAATTTAAGTTTCATAAATTTTCATTTATAAATTAGGATAAAGGATAAATATACACAATTTGTTTGATAAATTTTCTTGTTTGATTTATTTGTCTTGATAAAAAAAAAAAGAAAAAAGGAAACTAAGGAGAAATACAATATTTATAAAAAGTTGAAATTTGGTGATTGAGATCCACAAGTAAAGGAGAAAGACTTAGAAAAACTTATAATGGATAGATATGAAAAATTACAATTATGATAAAATAATGGACGCTATTATGAAAAGATTATACTAAAAATGTGATAGAATGATTGTATAAACCATATAAATTAGATTTATGATAATTTAGTCATTGTTTAAAATTGTATTGATACAAATGAATATCGTTTGTAAAAATTTAAAAAAAAAATGTTACTTTATATGTCAGTTTGTTGAAAATTATCATTTACTAAATTGATTGTAAAAAAAAAAAAAAATTAAAAAAAAATCATAAATTTGAAAATTTGTTTACAATAATTTTTTTATTAATTGTTTTTCAAAAGCAAAATAGCTTGTTAATATTTTAATTTGTGTTATATTATTTATTTGTGAAGTAAAAATTGTTACCTATACTAATTAAGTAATGAAATTGTATGTAATCTTATAACTATATTGTCAAGTTATCTTTGTGTTAAAAAAATAAAAGATGTAATAATACACTGACATTATCAACTACTGTATAAAAATTGTATAAAAGAGTTTGAAAAATATCCTGATAGCCTATTATTATTATACATCTAGTGGTGAAAGAGTTGTAGATTTACTTAGGAAAACTGGCTTTATAGGGGTTAGTAGCTATTTTGTAAAAAATATTCTAAAAATTTAAATGTATCATACATTTATATCTGATTAACAGTTTATTTATTATAGCCGTTTTAATTTCTAAAAAATAGGCGTGAAAACAATTAATATTCAATAGAAGGTTAAGAATTGCCGTGCTGATTGTGATTCCTTATTCCATACCGTGTTATTTTATTAAATATTAATTGTTTTTTAGAAATTAAAACCACTATATCTAAGTAGTTGTTCATCGTATATAAATGTGTGATAAATACATTTTTTTTTTGTGTTTAGGGGATAAAAATAAAAGTTTAATTTTTCTCCAAATCGATGCCCCCTTCGAAGACAAACCTTTATAAAAAAAAAAAAAAACAGGAAAAATTTAATACTAACAGCGCTAGAAAAAATTTGTCAAACACGGTGGGACACACCTTAAACTGGCCAGGCTCAGTAAATAATGTTAGAGTCTTATGCAATAGTTAATTATAGGCTAAAATGGAATCAGGTTGAAGCTCAATTGAATTTGTTATTATGCTTGGTGATGGCGCAATTCCTTTAAGCGATTTGCGATACCACTTTTCATAAGTAATCCAAATAATGCAGCAGAACTATCATTTATTCGACATTTTAAAAAACAATACAAATAATTGGAATTTGGAATTTTAAAAGAAAAGTTTCCATGCTAAATTATATGAGATTTACATGAGAATTAACTTGAAATATACGTGTAAAGTAATTATATATGCATACCATTAATAATGAATATGATGCAAAAAAAAAACATTATTAAAATAAATTAACATTATTTATATTTTTTATCACAGTATCATCATGTTGCGTGCCAATTTTATCATATTGTATTTGTGATAATTGTTTGGCCATTCATATTTGCGTTTCTTTGGAAATATTTAGAACGCTGAACATAGTCTGGCCGTTGATTACCGTGTTTATCACCTTTCCTACATAAACCTTTTTCCGCTATCTCTGTCTCCTAATTAGTATATCAGTTTTTTTCATAAATGGATTGGTTATAGGAATGGTGATTAATGATTATAGACAATGCCCTTGGCTATAATTTAAAATCGTCTATGGCCGTACCCGTTATACTATTTTTGACGGAGATTAATGTACTTATTTTTATTAATTCCCCTTTCTTGTTGCATTTTTTACTATTTTATATTTTATATGTTCATATATTTTAAATTTTATATTTTAAAAAAAAATGTATTTTTCTCTTTTTTTATATTTATTTATACCTACTCATATGTTTAGCAATGATCAATTAAAATAAATCAATATTAATTCTCAAAAAATAACTTATTTAATTCATAATATGGGTTAAAAAATAACCCTTATAATTCCCAATATAAATTAAACATAATTAACTCATATAATTTCTAATATAAATTCAAAAAAAGTTAAAAAAATGACTTGTGTATCGGTTTAATAAAATCTCATCATGTATTTATTTTAATAATTCCTATGACCATTGCTAAAACTAATAAAAAATATTTTAATTGTACCTATCCTTATTTAACTATAAGATGAAGCTTTTCAACGAAGACGTGCCTAAATTATGTAATATATAATTATTGCTTACAATAATGCGGTTGCTTTGGTTTTTGTGTTCATGATGTTTAAAGTTGATTGAGCTGCCGGTTCCTTTTCGGAATTGTTAGCGCAAACTAATGGTGATCCAATTGGTTTTTGGAATGTCTCCATGAAATATTCTTTTCTTTCGAGAGATCATTTCTCTAAAGTATCCTATGCCGACTACGTCAAATTGTTACGTGCCGATTTTACTGATCGACACTTCCAATTATTTTATTTGAAAAAAAGAACAGTTCAACTACACGTTTGACAGATATGTTTTAAGCACTCAATAGTTAATTTAATACAATTGTATAAAGAAGTTCCGATGTAAATAGACTCTTACAATATACACCAGTGTTACGACCGGCGTGAAAGTTCTTTCTAAAATCTAGGTGTAGACACGTCTGTCTGGAGTCTGTTCCAGGTCTCCTTTCATATGCTGTTTTCTGGACTCGCGTGGTGGCGTGATGTAATAGAATAATCGAAAGCAGCGTTTTTATTGGCTGTTCGTAAATCGGCCTTTGATCACACCATCGGATGATTTGGGACGAAAGGCGCGCGTGTACCTGTTGTCTATATCAGCATTATTTAATATACAATATTATCTGTATTATAAAAATGCTGATTTACAATATTTAGAAAATTAGATAATAATATACACCACACGTAAAAACTATTTTAATGTTTAATAGCAAATAACAAGTACAAATCTAAAATGTACAACGTGTTCTAGGGGAAAGTGACAGGCCGGCTCCATATGAAAGTACTCCAAAAATAATAGAGAAATCCCCTATTAGATGAGGTCTAACATTTGTATTTTTTGAGTTCTGGGAAATTTAAGTTTTTTTATGAACTGATATCTACCGTTTATTTTTGTTATGCATCTTTAAAAATTTTCAATTTATGAATGTATATTTTTTTGTTTTATAGCCATTCTATTGTCCTATTAATTAATCATACGTAATTGAACCAGAATTTATTTTTATTAAATTTGTAAACAGACAAAACATGTATCACGTACGCCTAGCGCACCATAACAGTTTTTCTTTAGGCTAGTCACTGCCGCGCTACAGAAATATAACGCGGTGCGTACTAACTCGCTTTACGTCCGATGCACATTAATCAATAATGCGCACACCAACTAAAAAAAACCCACCACCTTTGTACAAACAACATAAAGAGGCATCAACATCACTTACGTTCATATTAATAACCCAGCGACCCCAGAAATCCAACATAGCATCAAAAAACATCCGAATAGATATCAAGATTCTTACTAGGTTGTCCAGTTAGATTAGGTTTTACTCATTAAAATTAAATTGGATATATCATATTCAGCTATTAGAATTCAGCTGTTCTTTAAAATTTTAATAAAATCGTACTTTTATATATGTGTATATATATATATAAGTAGTAGTAAAATGTTGGTTCTGGCACAGTCTTTTATTTCTCACTTTGAAACTAATTTCTGAACTAAATTCACATTGTTTTATTTGCTGTTCGTTGTTTACATGCTTAAAATAAAAATAATATTTAAAAAAAATATATTAAAACATAATTAAAAATAATATTTAAAAAAATAAATTAAAAATAATATTTAAAAAATATTAAAAAATAATAATAAAATCAAATGTTACATAAACATTGAACTAGAAACAATTCTCTTTCACAAAAATAAATAACATAATATATTACACATTGCGCGTGAAATAGATTATTTCTAAAAGATTTGTTTTTATTAAATTATCAAGGTATTCTCTGAAATTTTCTGTTTCTAGTTTTATTAAATAATGTCCCCCAAGTTAAAGTATATATACAATATTTTAGAATATATCTTATGTCATCATATGCACTAAGAGCTTTTTTGTTTTGTTCAACGGTGAATATTTCATGTTTATCTGATCTAAAAGTGTTCTGTTTTACATATTTTGGATTTTTTTTTTTTTAAACAATCATAAAAATTATTAAAACATAATTCATGGGTTTTTTTACACCTTTTGTTTTTTTAATTTCTTTTTAATTTCAAATAATTTAAATGTTTATAATTTAGATCTTAACTCAACAAATTCAGTCATTATTTGACCATTAAGATCATCTTTAAATTTATGTGGAACTTTTTTATTTATTTGGGGTATTCCATATTTATTATTCTCAGGATAATGTGAAAAATCAAATTCATAAAAAAGTTTTTATTAAAAATACTTTCCATTTATTATATACAGACACAGATTCTATAATAGTAGAAATTACAACTGATGATTTTTATACAGATATAAAAAAAAATAAACAACTTTTTTATGAATTTGATTTTTCACATTATCCTGAGAATAATAAATATGAAATACCCCAAATAAATAAAAAAGTTTCAGGTAAATTTAATATTGTTTTTTTATATCTGTATAAAAATCATCAGTTGTAATTTTTTACTATTGAAGAATCTGTGTCTGTATATAATAAATGGAAAGTATTTTTAATAAAAATGATGATCTTATTATTCGATCACAATATAAAACATATGAAGCAATATTAGAAAAAAATTTTAACAGAGATGGTGGTATTATAACCTTTTTTATAAAAAGTTCTGATAATTTTCTCAATATTAAACATGCAAAATATAATATTAGTGGAAAATATTTAAAAAATAACAATACTGAATATGAAGCTAATAGCAATGTTCAATTAGATGATAATTTTATTTTCACAAATTAAAGTAACAAAAATTATAACATTAATAGACCAAATTGAAAACGTTTGTAAATCAAGCATGATCGAAAGATGTGTTTGTTATTCTTTAGATGAAAATGGACCAACAATTAATTCTAGATTTCAATCAAGATTTACAGGTGGGAGAAGATTCGAAGCTGTTGGGACTTTGTCTAATCTATGTTTAGGTTTTTTTTAAAGATATTAAATATCCAATTTTTATAGGTCAAATTTCCATACAACACATTTAAGCAACATGTGTTTGAATGAAATACACGTAGAGCTATATTACTTTATATCATGCAAAAGCAAAGCCATTTAAAAAATAGTAGACAACATTACACAGTTTGCAATTTCTGTATCATATTAATTTTAGGATAACGATTATTTGGGCCCAAGATAATTTCATACTCAACAATTAGCAATAAGTTTTTTCAAAAGTACCTACCTACATTTTGTTAACAATCTTTTTTTCCCCATAGGTTGTGAGTTTTTATTTTATAAAATATAAATAATTAGTAATTAGTATGTAAATAAATACTGAGAAGCAAATTTGAGTTAACTTATACATTTGTTTTTATTTTAACACAATTTCTTATTTGTAGATGTTTAAATTTTATTTTTTTAAATAATTATGAAACAAGAAAATGTTTTAATAATATCTTTATTTAATATTATATGTTCAACGTTTTGTAAGATAATTTATTATTAAAGATTTTTATTTCTGGTCTTAAATCAATTAGTTTCTGTATCTATATTAAATAGTTCAATCTGGGTCAAAAAAATTATTTTATTTTGGAGTCATTAAATATTTTCTTTAGCAAGTATACATATTTTCATTAAACTTTTTTTTTTATAATTATGAAAATGTTTTTAATTTCAACCGTCTCTGATTATTCATATAATAGGAAAGAATTAAGAGAAATAAAAATTATTTCAAAAATCAAGTTTAACATAAAATTGTATTAAACCGTGGTATAATTTTGTTTAGGATGTTCAAGTTAATGCTTGTAAAATTATTTTTTATTAGTACTGAGTTTATTGTAAAAATGAAAACNAGTATACATAATGTCTCTAATTATTCATTTAATAGGAAAAAATGAGAGAAATAAAAATTAGTTCAAAAATCATGTTTAATATAAAATTGTATTATTCTTGAATTAAACTGTGGTATAATTTTTTCTAGGATGTTCAAGTTAATGCTTGTAAAATTATTTTTTATCGGTACTGAAGTTATTAAAAAAATAAAAATAAAAATATTATCTAGATTTTTCTAAGTTTCAGGTATTAATAATTAATCATTCCGGGTTTTATATCGCGTTTAGTTATGCTGAATAAGATCTCTAATATTATTAAAATATGTTTATATAATTTGATTAGTCAATTAATAATAGGACATCGAGTAATAATAGCTACTTAAATATACAATGTTATTATTTTTGTTTGCAGCAGATAAAATTCAGTAAACCACAATACTGAGGGAATTTCACAGTTTCTGAAGAGAAAAAAATCGAAATAAATTTCAGTTTATTATTTATTAAGTAATACCAGTTATTTGAAGTTTTAGTATATTAGGGTCTAACAACTATCAATACGAAGAATATACAATATTAACAATAACAGATTCAACCAATAAAGGAAAAATGTCTCAATTTAGATACGTATTTAATCCACCTTCTCAAGGTTTTCATACAAAATGGTTGGATTTTGTAGGATTCCGTTCTTGGTTAGCGCCAGTTCATGGGGATAAAACTAAGGCTTGGTGCAATATTTGTGGACGTATGTTTCGTGCAGATTTAAAGGTGTTACGAGCACATGGTGTAAGCAGAATCCATTCTCGTAAGACGGTTACTCCTAGTCGTAAACCTGATGAAGATTATACCCAAGTATTAAAAAAAAAGAAAACAAATAAATCTATAATTGAGTCAGCTACATTTTCTCCGGATGAAACAAATACTTCGGAAGAAATTAAAACATTTGAAATGGAAAAACAGTCACAACATGGAAAATATGTTGTGGTATCACCTAATGCAAATGATGGTCCTCATAGTTCTAGCTCAGATACTCAATACGTACAAAAAGATGTTAATGTAATTGACAAGTCCAGTAATTTGGTGTCTGTGGATACTGAACATTATGCACAGAAAAATGAAGGTAAAATTTAGATTACTCTTGGTGTCCTAGCCAGATTTGCAATTATTTTTATTTTTAAAACAAATTTGGTATTAATTAAGTTAGAAACATTAATTTAAAAAAATGTATGTAGGTCAAAAAAGGCAATTGTTAAGTGAGAAAATTTAAAATATACACAAACTATTAAAAAAGAATTTGAAAAATAAGGTTCCCAAAGAGAGTTTTCATTTCAGGTTCGAAGGTCAATGAATTAACAAAATATTTTTGTGCATGTACTTGTAAAATTATAAATTAATTACATTTCTCGGAATAAAATAATACCTATGCTTAATCTAAGATCAAATAAGATAATTATAAAACACAAAATAAATTTGCTTATAATGAACATAACATAGCAATCAAAAAAGTGTTAATACCATTATGAATGAAACAAAGTTCAGCTAAGAATTGTATAAAAATAATGAAAATAAAATGAGACCTTTAAAAGTGATGTATAGATTGGGTAAAATTAAATGAATTCAAAGGGTGATTGTCATGAGAACCAAAAAGTTGCTGAATATGAATATCCATATGTTACAAATAAATTAAAACCTAAGTAGGAAGAGAATGAAGATTCTATTGATGACTTACATATGAAATTTTTGAGAATTATAAGTTTGGATATTGGGTATATTTATAGACCTCCTTAAGTATACAGCTTTTGATTTAAATTTAAAAATAAAAAATATAGACATAAAGAGGAAAATTAAATTAATACCTGTATATAATGACAAACCATTAAAAAATGTTCACAAATAAAAAAAAAATCTAAAATAAACAATATTAATTAGAATAAATGAAAGTTTTATTTACTAGTATTAAATATTTAATAATTCATTTCTTTTATGTTAACCAAGTAAATTCCTAAAGCTATACTAGTCTATTAACTTAAATACTATAATTGTAGATCATAGTGACAATACACTAAATAAATCATAAAAATTAAAAAATTAAGTTTTTACTGTTTTGAGTTTTTTTTGTCTCTTCAGTTTTTATATAAAAACTGTGTTTTTGCATATTTATTTTAATTGGTCAGAGTTAAAGCATTTAAGTATTGTATTTTGTACAAAATATATCTGTAAACTAGGCAAATTATAAACACAAGTATTCATTTCGATAACCATATGTTTGAAGGTCAGATTTATGCACAAATCAGGCCAACGAACTGAGGCGATGGCATTTTTAAAACCCATCATTCACTGTAAACAACAATTGCACTAAAATCCCTGAAAACGAGGGTGCTTTTAGCAATTTAGCAATTTCATTATGTATTATATATAATGATTTATTATGTTAATAATTGTGACCTAAATAAATTAATTGTTAATAATACGAAAAACACTATACCAATGTTAATTCAATTATTATCAAGTTAATGAATATATTTGAAAAATTTTTAAGATAAACTTTAATTGATATATAAATCGATATAATTATACAGAATGTTATAAACCATTATCCGAATGCATATTACTTTATCAATATTCATTTTATATAAAAAAAACCTTGCTTTCAATCAGCTTTTGTAACAGTGGGCACAAATATGGACCATTTGGATTACATTAGAGGATATACAGTATCCTACATATTCACATATAACTTTAAAATTGCAGTTCTGACCGACTTTAATAAAATTAATTAAGCAACCATTAAATGGTTGCTCGAAACAAACATCTATTTTTAAGATTTATAATTTCTATTTATTTGTCATACTTTTTTTATCATAGGGAATGCCGATGATATTGCAGTTGTTCTTCAAACAGAGAAATATCATAGTTCATCTCATAATAAAAAAACAGATCAAAAACATGATGGTATAAAGCACAAAGCCATTGGTATAGTAAACAAGAAAATCGTTTTACTTTATAAAAGTTACAAATATATATATTTTCATTTATAGTTTCGAAACCTGCCCCATTTTGGAAGGCTACAGCTGTTGTGAATGGATATGTAACAGAGTTAAATCTTAACGACTTCAAAGGCAGTTATTTGGTCTTATTCTTTTATCCTGGCGATTTGTATGTTTTACTTAAATATTACTTTTAAACTTCTTTGATTAAAAAAATAATATTCTTGAGAGAAGGGACTATAGCTTGCGCATAAATAATTAAAGAAATGATAAAATTTTATTTCTTTTAATATTATTTTAATTTTCACAAATAATATGTAACAGTGATTATTCGTAGCATGTTCTGTGGATTCATACTATTCCCATCAAACATGGTATCGTGAATTACAATCTAATGGAAGGTATGCAATGCCTGAATTGCCACTACTATCAGATCCAACACATGCCATCAGTAAAACTTATGGATGCTATTTACCAGAACTCGGCCATTCTCTCAGGTAATTTTAGTTTGCATGGTTGATAGCATCAATAAATCATCTAATAAAATTTTTTTTTATTTTTTAGAGCTCATTATATAATTGATACAAGAGGTATTTTAAGACATGTTACAATTAATGATTTGAATGTGGGTCGAAATATCAGGGAAATATTAAGACTCATAGAAGCTTTTCAATATACCGATGGAAACGAAAGGCTTTGCCCTGCTAATTGGAACCCAGAAAAACTAACTTTATAATGATTCGTATTAATTACTTTTTATTAAAATGGATTTCCATTCAATTTTTTTGTAATAACAAAATTATTAATAATTTTTTGATAGTTAAAAATAAAATTTTATAATATTAGCTAAAATTATAAGAATTAATGTTTTTTTTTTTTTAATATATATTCACAATAATTTATGTCAATATGAATAAAACAAATAATACAGTAAAAGTCTTACTTAGTTATTCGTGTTTGACTAAAATTAACAAAAAAATGTGATCCCATAATATTTAATGCATATTTAATGTATATTTTTTTATATATTTAATACATTAAAGTACTATTTGTTGCATACACTTGGTATCAAAATTCATTATTTCCAAACTTTATAAATAAAATTAATTTAATATTTCATTTAAACTTGTATTGATTGTGGAAAGTAAATTCAAATGCTTATCATCCAATTAAAAAAGTATGATATTCTTAACAAATGTACAGTTCTTTTAGTAGAACTTGTTATTTAATTTATTGAGNTTTGATGCATATTTAATGTATATTTTGTTATATATTTAATACATTAAAGTACTATTTGTTGCATACACGTGGTATCAAATTTCATTATTTCCAAACTTTATAAATAAAATTAATTTAATACTTCATTTAAACTTGTATTGATTGTGGAAGGTAAATTCAAATGCTTATCATACAATTGAAAAAGTATGATATTCTTAACAAATGTACAGTTCATTTAGTAGAACTTGTTATTCTATTTATTGATTAATAAAACCCTAAGGAAGGAGATTAAAAAAATTACAAATATTTTACTTTTTTTAATGTAGATATATTGTCTAAAATATTTTCAACAATTCATTGATTTGTGTATATCATATTCAATATCTAAGTCAATACAAATTCTGGTGCTGGTTGCTTAACTATTTTTAATTAACATATTTTTGTCCAATAAATAACTGACATAATCTTTTAAAACTAAAATAATAAAATGGAATTATAACTAATTTGTAATTATATTACAAATGTTGAACTGATTAAAAAACTACCCCTCACTGTATTCTGTTTGTTGAAGGTTTAAGAATTTGTAGTGTTAATGATTATGCTATTGGGTACTCTTATCTTGTGAAGATCATCTTGGTCTTTGGTTCCAAGATTACAGACATATTAAAAATACTTAAAGTAATAAACATATTAAAAATACTTAAAGTAATAAACATGAATTGGTCTTTGGTTCCAAGATTACAGACATATTAAAAATACTTAAAGTAATAAACATGAATCATTTAAAGTAATAAACATGAAAATACTTAAAGTAATAAACATGAATCATATTCAATATAATGAATTTATTGAAATGTATTATTACTGTTATTAGATTTTGATACCGATTTAATTTTAACATTTACTTTAATATATGACAATTCAAAATTTAGGGATTCCTAAAAAATAGTTTAAAATCTATTTTACTACCTATACTTGTATTATCTTTTTTTCAAAATTTAATGTTAAGTTTTGAGGATAATCTATCAGAAAAATAATGTTATACTTTTAGTACCTAACTTAATTAATTTAATTATATACTATTGTTAAAACCTGATACCAAACTTTTTTTCTTCTAATTGGTAAGATGTTAAATATTAATTACCCCTACATTCCCTTCTTCTAGTATTTAAGATTTCAGTACACCCACTTCATAGAGAGGAGGTGTTGGTACTGGCTGTTTAATGTCAAGTATAATTAATTTTATTAATCATGTTCAAAAACAAATTTTTTCTTTGAATGTCTTTGTTTGAACTTTTAATGAAATTCTGTTTTCATTTGTATTTCAATGTTGTATAAATATGTTATTATATTTGGTTTTAAGTTTTTATTATACTGGAATCACTCTCAATTCTATGAGTGATTGACTAATTTTTATATTTTTATTATATCATATTGCTTGAAGAATTTGGTATGGTTTAATACATTTTATATACTTTATAACTTATAATTTGTCTGCTATTGATGTGCCATTGTTTTTCTAAATATCCAAATTAATCATAAGTGTGTAGACAGATATTTTTTAACAAATTATAAAATATATGTTTTTATAATTTTTTATAAAAGACCATTAAATAATTATAAGTCTAAAATTTTTTAAAGTCCATGAAACGTTAAATTACTTTGATGCTAGTTTTTATAACTCATTTCTGAGTTAAAGTTATTCTGTTATTTTGAAATTATTAATTTTAATTTATTATTCTTCATTGTTATTATTAGATATTAAATATTAATACATAATAGTGCAAGTAAGAATTGTAGAAATAGATACGTACTTTTGTCTAACTAAAAAATCGCATAAGTATAAAAATGAATCTACATTTTAAAGTAAGTAGATTCTTAAAATAAACCTATACATTATGAATATAATTTTTCATATAAACTGGCAAGGGGTGATCAACATTTATAATCATAAAGTATTCTGATCTTAAACAATATAAGTTTAAAAGTATAAATAATATGGATTTTATAATAATTATAATAATAATAATAATGTACAAGATCCATAATATTGTAATGATATGCTATTTAAGCTATCATATATAATATAAATAAAATGTAATGTAATATTAGAGATTAATCAGACAATTTATAACAGGAACGAAAATTAAACATATTCATTCAATTCCATATTTTCTATCAAATAATATATATTTTAATGCGATATTTACTTATTGTAATGTTATTCTATTTAAGCTATCATATAAAGTTAAAATAAAATGTAAAATCCATAATGTAAAATAATTATAATAATTTTTAATCATTAAGCATTAGATTAAGTTGTTAGCATTAACCAGATTAAGGCAATATTCTTCAACATTTACTCTTCTCGGGACTAAATTGGGAAAATTTTGACTCTTTTATCAATAAATACAATATGTCTGCATCAATTAATTATTGGTCTGACGAAGAAAAAATTCGATATTTCCCGGGGTTTCTATAGGGTACCACATTAAAAACATATGAAAATATACGAGATAACAATAATATAATAATTAAATGGTCAAATTTAGAAAAACATTTTCGAATACAATTTGAACCTACCGCCCTAATTGACATTCTTCGTTCTCAATTAGAAAAACGGAAACAACTAGATGATGAACAACTCATGGTATATATAGCTGACATAGAATCTCTATGCAGACGTGTCGAGTCGACTGTGTCGACCCCTTATTGACCCAACAGGAAATAATACGCAATATCATGAAGGGCCTTAAATCAGATATTATTAGATATGTAGGTTTTATGGACAGCAATATCATAGAAAATCTTAAACATAATATTCAAAAATTTGAAAAAATTGAATTTATGGCGAGTGGTAGTCTATACAATCAATCACTATTAAAATCTAAGGAATAAATATTTAAAGAAGAAATTTTTAAAATAAATGAAACTATAAAAACGTTAAAAGAAAATAATTCAACTATGACCGAAAATATTAATAAAATCACAAGTCAATTCAACGATAAATTTAATACTCTTAGTGAACAGTTGAAATCACAAAACACTCAACAACCAAAAAATACTCAATATTTCAGAAATAATAATAATACTGCGCGCTACAATTCCCCTAAAGAACAATAAACATTTGGAAAAAATAATAATAATTTCGATTTCCAAATACCCCGTACTCAATGCAATAACTGTAAACTATACAATCACACTAGTGAAAATTGTCGTTTTCCTATAAATCCACCAACATGTCAACTTTGTAATAGAATAGGACACATTGCCGACAATATTTTAATCAGTCAAAAAACGAATAAATAGGTTAAATGGCCATTACCCAAAAGCTATTACCCTTCTTCGTCATACACAAATATTAAAATTGATAGCAACACAATAAATCATAGAATAAATATACTCACGGAGTCATTACACATCTATGCATACTTAGATAACTCTAAAATATTACTGACCATTGATACCGGTGCTAACATTTCTTGCATCAGACATACACTTTTATCCAATAGCCATAAAATAGAAAAAGCACCAATAAAATTAACGGGAGCAAACATCGAACCCCTCACTGTACTTGGTTCTACAATAGTAAACGTTATTATAAATTCTCAAATGTTCGAAATATTAACTTATGTAGCAAAAAATGTATCTTGTGCATTCATTTTAGGTAACGNTGAGTTTATTGTAAAAATGAAAACATAAATATAATCTTGATTTTTCTAAGTTTTAGGTATTAATAATTAATGATTACAGTATTATATCGCATTAAGTTATGCTGATTAAGATCTCTAGTATTCTTAAAATATGTTTATATAATTTGATTAGTCAATTAATAATAGGAAATCGAGTAATAATAGCTACTTAAATATACAATGTTATTATTTTTGTTTGCAGCAGATGAAATTCAGTAACCCACAACACTGAGGGAATTTCACAGTTTCTGAAGAGAAAAAAAATCGAAATAAATTTTAGTTTATTATTTATTAAGTAATACCAGTTATTTGCAGTTTTAGTATATTAAGGTCTAACAACCATCAATACGAATAATATACAATATTAACAACAACAGATTCATCCAATAGAATCCAAATGTCTCAATCTAGGAACAAATTTAATACACCTACTCAAATTTCTCATACCAAATGGTTGGATTTTAAAGAATTCCGTTCATGGATAGCGCCAGTTGATGGGGATACAACGAAGGCTTGGTGCAATATTTGTGAACGTACGATTCGTGCTGATTTAAAGGTGTTACGAGCACATGGTGTAAGTAGAAACCATACTCGTAAGATGGTTACTCAGGGTCGTAAACCTGATGAAGATTATACCCAAGCTTTAGAAAATAAGAAAAGAAATAAATCTATTATTGAGTCAGCTATGTTCTCTCCGATTGAATCAAATACTACTGAAGAAATGATTACATCTGAAATGGAAACACAGTCAGAACATGGCAAATATATTGTGGTATTACACAATGAAAATGACGGTCCTCATACTTCTAGCTCAGATACTCAATACGTACAAAAAGAAGTTAATGTAATTGACAAGTCTGGTAATTTGGTGTCTGTGGTTACTGAACCTTATGCACAGAAAAATAAAGGTAACATTTAGATTACTCTTAGTGTCCTAGCCAGAGTTGCAATAATTTTTATTATTAAAAGAAATTTGGTATTAATTAAGTTAGAAACATTAATTTTAAAAAATTATGTAGGTCAAAAAAGGCAATTGTTAAGTAGGTAAATTTAAAATAACAATTGATTGTATAAAAATAATGAAAATAAAAGAGGCCTTTAAAAGTAATGTACAGTTTGGGGAAAATTAACTGAATTCAAAGGGTGTAAAAACCTAATTGGGAAAGCGAGAATGAAGATTCTCCTGATGACTTACAAATGAAATCTTTGAGCAGTAATAGTTCTGATATTGGATAATTTTGTAGGTCTCCTTTAGTATACAGCTTTTGATTTGAATTTAAAAAATAAAAATATAGACAAATAGAGGAAAATTTAATTTATACATGTATATAATGACAAACCATTCCACAATTTCGTTCACAAATAAAAAAAAAACTAAAACAAACAATAATAATTAGAATAAATGAAAGTTTTATTTACTAGTATTAAGCTTTTAATAATTAATTTTTCTATATGTTAACCAAAGAAAATTCCTAAAGATATACAATTTTATTATTTTAAATACTATAATTGTAGATCATAGTGTATTGTATCTTAAAAATTAAGTAATAACCTTTTTACTGTTTTTTTTAAGTTCAATTTGGTTCTTCAGTTTCTAAATAAAAACTGTATTTTAGCATATTTATTTTCATTGGTCAGAGTTAAAGCGTTTAAATGTTGTATTTTATACAAAATATATCTGTAAACTAAGTAAATTATAAACCCAAATATTTATTTCGAGACCGTATGTATGAAAGTCAGTTTTAGGCACAATTCAGGCCAAAGAAGTGTGGCAGAGGCATTTTTAAAACCCATCATTCACTGTAAAAAACAATTGCACTAAAATCCATGAAAACGAGGATGCTTTTAGCAATTTAGCAATTTCATTATGTATTATATATAATTATTTATTATGTTAATAATTGTGACCTAAAAAAATTAATTGTTAATAATACGAAAAACACTATACCAATGTTAATTCAATTATTATCAAGTTAATAAATATATATTTGTAATAATTTTAAGATAAAATTTAATTGATATATAAATATACATAATGTTATAAACTGTTATCCGAATGCATAACAATATTCATTTTATACAAAGAACATTGTTTTCAGTTGGGTTTTGTAACAAAGAGTACAAATTTGGAGCATTTAGATAACATTGTATGATACTGTGTATACGTTTACATATAACTTTAAAATTGCAGTTCTGACCGACTTTAATAAAATTAATTAAGCAAACATTTAAGGGTTGCTCTAAACAAACATCTATTTTTAAGATTTATAATTTTTATTTACATGTCATTCTTTTTAATCATAGGGAATGCTGATGATTTTGAAGTTGGTCTTCAAACAGAGAAATATCATAGTTCATCTCGTTATAAAAAAACGAATCAAAAACATTA